CGTGGATCGATTGACTAAATTAGCACATTTCTTGCCTATTCACACTGACTTCACATCAGAGCAGTTGGCGAGACTTTACATTACAGAGATTGTGAAGTTGTATGGCATTCCGTTGTCTATTATATCGAATAGGGATTCGAGCTTTGTGTCCCGATTTTGGAAGAGTTTTCAGCAGGCTTTGGGTACAGAGTTGCATTTTAGTACTGCTATCATCCTCAGACTGATGGACAGACTGAGAGGGTTAATCAGATCATGGAGGATATGCTTCGATCGTGTGTTCTTGATTTCAAGGGCCACTGGGAGGATTATATGTCACTCGTGGAGTTTGCATATAACAATAGTTTCCAGAAGACTATTGGTATGGCACCATTTGAGGCTTTGTACGGTCGACCGTGTCGATCGCCTGTTTGTTGGATGGAGGTTGGCGAGAGCAAATTCTTGGGTCCTGAGTTCATCAAGGATACTTCTGAGAAAATTGTTTTTACTTGGGATCGCATGCGCACTGCGCAGAGTCGACAGAAGAGTTATGTCGATCGTCGCACACGTGCTTTGGAGTTTCAGGTTGGGGATCAGGTTCTACTCAAAGTGTCACCTATGAAAGGTGTCATGCGCTTTAGGAAAAAAGGAAAATTGTCACCGCGGTTTGTCGGTCCATTTATGATTACGGATCGAGTTGGAGCTATCGCTTATCGGTTAGTACTTTCGGATAATTTGGATCGCGTACACAACGTGTTTCATGTTTCCATGTTGCAGAAATTTCTGCAAGATGAGGATCGGTATCAGCATATCAATGTTGGGGAGATTGAGTTGCAGCCGGATGCAACTTATTTGGAGCCACAATATCGTATTGTTGACCAACGGGATCAAATCCTTTGTAACAAGGTTATCCCTTTGGTTCGTGTTCAGTGGAGTCATCACAATGAGGCTGAGTCTACTTGGGAATAGGAGGATGTCATTCGCTCACAGTTTCCTAAAATATTGGAAGAAGGTAAGAGCGAATTCCGAGGACAGAATTCCTTTTGTAAGGAGGGAAGAATGTAATAACCCTAATTTTAAAAGGATAGTCTTGGTATTTTAAATTTAAGTGCATTTTTATTTGTTTAATTGCTTATTTGTATTTATTATTTGAATTAATTAATTAATATTTGTTTAATTATTTATTTGGGTTTACTATTTGATTTAATTGATTAATGGTTTTTATTTAATTATTGTGTTTTTATTTTCTTTAATTGTCTATTTGTATTTTTTATTTGGAATTCACTTGTTTAATTAAATTAAATTAGTATAACTGTTATAATGTTAAAAAGTAGGTTTGATTCTTAGAATTCACGTTGTGGCCGACTAGGATTTAAATTAGGGTTCTGTCTCTAATTATACAAGGCCTAGGGTTTTATTGTTCTGAGCCTATAAATATATCATTACGGGGGTTTAGAGTTTTATAACACAGAAACATAAACCTAAGGTTTGTTCACGTAGAGAAGGTTGAAAGACAGAAGCACAGTTAGGGCTACCAGGGAGGAAAACAGAGAGGACCAGGGAGGTGTTGTGGTGGATTAAACTAGAACAATAGAAGGCTTGACGGTATTCAGTAATTGCCGAAAACGTAGACACGACGCCGAGATTTCATAACTGAAATCACAGGCAAGTTCTTTTCTTTCTCTCTCCCGTTAGCCTGTGTTCTATGCACCTAGATAGTCTCTAGGGTTTAATTGATCATTAACTGAAACTTACATGTTTATTATATGTTATATTGATGATCTGTATGCGTTGAATCAATTTTGTTACAGTTCTTGTAAGTCTGGGTTTCAGTTTGTTCTTTAAGCATGTTAAATCGGTAGCAGTTTTAATCATTGTAGTTAGTTCCAACTGTTGTAAACAAACCATTGGGATGCTACTGGGTTTAAATAAGACTCTTAGCTTCAGTTTTAAAAACAAACAGAAAGGTTGGAAGTGGCCGGAGTTGAAGCAGACAGTCGGAGATGCAGTAGAGCTCTCAGAGAGGAAGAGAGCCGGCTCCATGAAAGAGGGAGCCAGCTCCCTCATCTTCAGTGCCGGCTCTGGGGAGTCCAGAGCCGGCTCCTAACCCTCCTGAGCCAGCTCTAAGAGTGATGGAGTCGGCTCTATGCTCTACAGAGCCTGCTCTGTTGTTTTAAGAGCAGGCTCCCATGTTTTGATGTGTTTTGGGTTTGTCCGGGTGAACTGTTGGGATGATTTATGTGTCTTGAACTGTTCTAGAAGTAGACTGAGGTATTTAACATATAATACAGGTGTTATTAAAAGCACTCAGTGTATAGTTTATACAGTTATGCGAATAAAATAAACAGTATGGAATTAAACAACTTTGTATGCTATTTACGGATGGAATGGAGTTAATTGCCTAACTTTAAATTAGTGATTTAACGGATTATAGCATGAGTTTAAAATTTGTTTTAAATGCATAGTAGGGTACTTTAATTAACAAATTGGACCTATGCATGCTTTAGACTTTGGTTGCTAAACTACTCTTTATAATTCTGTAGTTTACATGGTTTTGAACTGGACTATACTTTAGGTTTTAATTGCTGAAATATTACACATTATTCTGCAATTAACTGGATTATGTTTTTAGATGTAAATTGTTGAAATAATTATACATTATTCTGATATTAACGGGATTTTAGTTTCGAACTTAAATTGCTGTAATATTATACACTATTTTGCAATTTCCTGGATTATGGTTTTGAATTGGATTATGGTTTTGGACTTTAATTGTTGAACTGTTATTTAGGTTCTGTAATCATTATGGATGTTGTGGATTGTATGCACCGGTATGGGACAGTGGCATACTAGGGATGGTTTAGCTCAAAACACTAAGACCTAACCTATTAGAATAAAGGAATGGATTGTAAAATATTGAATCCTAATTATGTTTAAGTTAGATCAACTGACTAAGTTGAATGACTTCCTGGATTAGTTATTTGCAGTTATGTCATATCAACTGAATAAGTTGAGTGACTAACTGGATTATAAATTGTATGTCAGATCAATGAACAATTGAATGATATACTCTGGTTTTGGACGGACTTTAAATATATGGTTATGGTACCACGAGATGAGCTTGAGTCTCATGCTCGTTGGTCAGGATGCGTATATGCAGTGGATGCGTAACTGACTATGATAGGTGGAGGTGTACTATGTTAGGTCTAGGTACTCATGTCCACCTTTGGGTGCATTTTTGCATGTTACATTCTATTTAGGTTGAGACCCCTTCGTAGTCTAGTGAATGTCCCTTAGTGTGGATATATATGTATATATAGACTAGATAGATATTGTGAGATATCTAGGGTGTATCTGTGTATCGGGTCACTGTATGGATTGCAGTTAGATTAGAACTTGTTCATAGGTCTGACCCACTCTTGTATTTTTCAGGTAATGGACGGTTCCTGTCTTAGGCTTGATCATGCTGAGCAGAGACTATTGTTCACTTTACCGACGATGTAAGATCTCATTCCATGTTTTAGATTTGGTTTTATTTTCAGTTATTTTATGTTCAGTTGGGATTTGATTTAGGGGTTCACTAGATGGATTCCCGAGTTGTACTCTTAGAGGTTTTGGAGAATTGGGTTTTTATAAATTTTTAACTTTGGAGGATTTTATATTTAGTATTTCTTTCAACTTCATTATTTAATTCCTAAATCTTTTTTATATTTTGTGTTCGTTTTAAAATATTAATTGTTTGATATTCCCTCGGGTTTGAGCTTAGGCCTAATCAACCTGTGTCTCAGATTCGAGGGGTATCACAGGCTACCACAAGCCTTGTCTCCAAGGTCATTCATCAAGGTACATTAGTGATTCCTAAAGGGAAAATTACTATCAACAAAAAGGAGAAAGAATCTTGCAAATGGATCTACAATAAGTGAGAACATTCACTTTAGAGGAAAGATTTAAAGGTTTACTCAAACCTTTGATGTAAGTATTCAATCTATTAATTGAATGATATATTATATTTTATTTTTGTATAAAACTTGTTTCTATGTGATGAATCAAGATCTATATATGAAAATTCCTCAAAAAGTTTTTAAAATTTGCATGTTTTTCAACATACACATCATTCGCAAAGAGAAAAAAAACGAGATATGAATGTATAAGGAATTACTTAGGAAGTTGATGAAAGAGTCGATGATTGTTTTTTCTTAGTCTTCTCCACCAAACTCATTTCTTGATACTCCAGACACCTTACCTAAATTTGGTCACATATTTTACATCATTTATTGATTAAAGTTCAAATTCTGCATTTTTTGATCACTTGTTGATGGTTTAGAGGCCTAAAATATGAGGGGACTAGTTCGTAGACCGTTTACTCAAATAGTTACATGGAGAAGACAAACAACAAGATACACCATTTGCTTCGTGTAAGTGAGCCGTGTTTTTATTTTTTCACAGTAAAAAAAAAAAAGAGATATACTAATCTAAGTAAGTGAATGAATACAACCAAATTTTCGTAAAGATTCCCAGAAGTTTCATGAAGTATCAGGTCTCAGATTAAAGTTTATCGGTAAATAATTTTTGTGAGAGTACTCGCATGGGTTAAGTTGTAATCGAACTGAGACATAAATTTGTTCGGTCTTACTCGATGCACGTGGTTTGTAGAGTATTATTACGTGTGTCCTGAGATTAATTAGCTCACCTGTAAAATGTGATGATACGTACCTTTTTTGTAAAAAAAAATAATAATAAATAATAAAATAAAATAAAAATTTATTGAGAGGGCATTTGTGAAGCGGATGCTCATCCATAATTTATTTCAAATTTGGAGACTATCATAATTTTGTGATTTTATTGACACTATAAATCAATTTTGATTAAATTGGAAAATGTAGCGCAAATAAAGGACATAGTGAAGTAAAAAAATTGTGGTCAACAATTGAGTTGGAGAACATAGGTTAAAGGAAAATATTATTACTAAAAAGATAAAAGTACAACTGGTGCATGAGACAGATAATAGTGTCTAATAATCGTAGATTCCAACAAGAACCCCTGAATCTAAGCCGATAAAAAGTCAAAATTCATGCAAATTATCTTCTTATTTAAACCCTCCTTTCTCAAGTGTCACAAATTGCCATCCATTCTCAAAAGGTCACCTTCCATTCCCACCATTTCCTGATACTCCCAAGGCCCCAAAGAGAAGCAAAAGAGGTATAATATAATTTCAACCTCTTTTTTTTTTTTTTTCCTCAATGTTTTGATTGATTAATCAAACTCTTTCACATTGTTTGGAATGCAGGATTTGGTAGGATTTAACATTTTAAATGAAATTTAATGACATTCAAAATGAAATTTGAATTTCATATTTCAAAATATGGTGTTCTTGATCCTCAAGAAATTTATGGAATTTAAAGGATTAAATTCACCCTTGAAACATAAGATTGCAACTCTAATTAATATTGATAAAAAGGAAAAAGAAATTTTTTTGTTATAATTAAATTCTAATTTATTTGAAACACACAAATGGAATTTCAAATCCAATACGATTTCTTTTTCTTTTCTGAATCCAAAATTCCAAAAGAAATGAATTTTCTAGCATTTGGCTCCGTAAGGTTGATAGGTTTCGTTATGTGTTTGAAAGACAGTTCAGAAAGGCCAGAGAACAATTAGATTATTAGTTTATACATCATATTTTACTTTTTGTATTGGGTTCTTTTAATAGTTTGGCTGTAATTAATCATATTTTGTTTGATCAATGATAAGAATCAACCCCCAAATTATATGTACCTACTTTAACAAGGTAATAGAAATTTATTTTGCTTCTTGTGCATTTTGTTGGTATGTACTTTTTCATTCTTGTTTCATTTCATTTATTTATTTTTTTACTTTTCTCCATATGATGATTGATGGCCATTGGCTGACTTAAATTGTCTTGCAGGGGGTATCAGGAAATTGAAAAATGGCACTTGGTCCCAAAATGTTCTCTCTCATTGTGGCCATTCTTGGTGTTTTGTCCTTCATATTAGGAATATATGCTGAACTCAAGAAAGTATGTCTCTTTCTTACAATAATCATGTTAATTCGAAATATTAACCATAAGATTTTATTGGGTATTCAAAATAACAATTTATGTTTCTATACCGAATGGTTAAAATTTCTACACCACTGAACAAATGATCAGTTAATAACAGAAATATTACCGTCACAGTTCCCAAAGTACTCAATTATTTTTAACAGAGGGAGTATATGTATGTGTGTGTGTATATATATATATATATATATGTTAATAATGGGCTAATTTTGTTGTCTTGTTTGCTTGGGTGTGTACAGCCTGCTGCTGGAGAAAAGATCGCTGGCAAAGGTGTAGTGATTTGCAAGTACCATTCTTATACAACATTAGTTTGTGGATATCTGTCTACTGTATTTCTGGTGGCAGCCACTGGAGTTGGGTATTTCTCTGTGTTTTATCCATACAAAGGCAGATCTATTCCACAATCTGTACTGTTTCACAATGGCACCTTCATGACATCCTTCAATATTTCAGTGTGAGCACACTCATTCACTCTATCATATTTCTATAAACCACACGCGCGCACACAGTGAAGACCATGTTACATGGCCTTGCTTTGTAGCATTTCAATGTGGTTTTTCCATGAAAACAAACACAACCCTAATTTGTTGTATGTTGATGTGATGAATCTGGTTCTGATCATTTGGAAACAATCACCCATGACAGTTTTACAGCTGGACTCGCAGCAGCATTGCTATTATGGACAACAATCACAGAGCACATTCATCTCATTCACAACGTTCACGAAAACCTTAAGGAAGATTGCCCCATCTCTAAGAAGGGCGTCCTTGGTGGCGCTGCCTTCGTGTCTCTGGACGCGTCCCTCTTCTGGTTGGTATCCCTAATGGTGGGGTGCAACACCCGGGAGGACTACTTCGAAGAAACTGAGATGGAGGACAAGAGTCAGGTTGTCTCAATTGGTTAAACATGCCAAGCCTAAAAGGCGATCAGCAAAATACCACCTGCACATTCTTGGAGAAGCCGAGAAGGAGGACCAGAGTCAGGTTGTCTCAATTGGTTAAACATGTTCAAAGCCTAAAATGGCTATCAGCAAAATACCACCTGCACCATCCTTCATTCTTTCTGTATCTTCTTGTACATATCATTGTGGTGCAATGTAATATAAATTTAATCTTATGGTGTCGAAATGATTTTCTTAGCAATACAAAAGAATTAAAAAAAAGAACCACAAAAGTTACTGTACAAGAACATTTATTACATTGCAATATGCAAATAAATCCTACTACATTTGGTCTAGTACTAATACGGAGCTTTTTTGCTTTCCTGCCTCAACATCTGAAATGGGAAAAATGGGGGATGCACATATGAATACCAACCATGTAGGAAATCCCCTTAAAAATAAATCCAGTGTTACTCATAAAATGTGATGTATTATGAAAGATTAAAATCCATTAAGGTTTGCTTTTGGGAGAACCGAATTGGTACCTTGCATTTGGAATTGGAAAAGAACCGACAATTTCCCTGAAGAACAACTTAGCCACATGTCTTGCTACAAGGAATAACGTGAGCCATCTTAGAAAGGATTTTTATGGGAAGCAAGAGAGAACCCTGGTAAACGGAGGCAGTACTTGCTCTCTTGACATGCCTTATCACTAATTTTTTTCCAATTCCAATTCCAATTCAAAAGTGCCGATTTGGTGCTACCAAACATAGCAAGTCTTTTGAATGTATTACTAGCCTAGGTTCCTGTTACAGTATTTTTGAAGAGCTACATAAATATATATATAGTCAAACCATTTTGGGGACACGGGTAATGCACCAACAATTGAGTGCATGGTCCATTTTACCAAATGTCAATCTACATAGACTACAGAAGATCACCACATTTTAGATATCTAATCAGTAACTTCACAAGTAGATAACCCAGTAATAGAGAAAGAACAAAAATTCAACCAAGTCTTGGCTATATTTTACACCCAACATTTTTAATGGGAGTTGCGTAACTGTTCAGAAATCATAACTGGTACTTCATTAAAATAATGGTCCAGAATGATCTGTTATTATTCTCTTGTATGCTTATATTTTCTTACCACGAATAAACTAACGTCGTTCGGCAGGGATGCGGCGACGAATTCTCAGATACCCGAACTTTCCCGCACCTGGTGATGAACCCTCGAAAAGAAACGGATGATATCCTGTGGCACCTTTGTATCTTTGCTGAATCTGGATATTAGATGGAAAATTGGACATTATTCCAACACAAGCTATAATATTTTAGAGTTGACAAGAAATTCATCACTAAGAATAAAGTTAAACATTGTTATGCAAAAAAAAAGTGGATGGAAAAGCCTACAAGGAGAGATCATGAGATAAACTATTAGGACAAAAGGGACAAAAAAAAGTGGACAATGATTAAATAAAAGTACACAAAGGCCCCCATAAACATATTTTCCTATAAAATAATCTCCTATATTAACTTTATATTTTTCAGGACATTTACATACATTATTAGATCTAAAAGCATAGTTTCTATATATATCAATACATTTAAATTACATATGATTGTAACATATATACATATATATTTGCAAACATACTAGTTATATTAGGTTAACTCATACACTGGGTATTGCAAGCTTGCTTTTAAATTGAAGCAAAAGAGGTCTAGTGTTTTAATAAACAATTATAGAATAACATATTTGCTTAGATACAAATTTTTAAGGGAATACTTCGAATGCAAAATGGTTACGAAACCACAATTCTGAATAAAAAGAGTGGCTTAGAATTAGTACCATCTGAATTTTTATAAAGTACTTTTCCACTAAGAATGTTAAATTATTAGGGGACCTAACATATGCCGAGAAGATAAATTTCTGCTGAGTCATCTCTCATAAAGGAGTAAAATTACCTCGAAAATTTGTTGGCTGCTCCGTAGACAATTCCTGCCAATGACACAAACTGTTCCACCAGAACCACCACCGGTAATCTTTGCTCCATATAGAGTTCCATCTTCAGCTTTAGACAATCTACTGTGTTGCATTTCCTGCACCAAATGGACAAGCCTGTCTGTCCCATCCGAGCCAAGTCCACAAGCACTATAACTGTAGTGGCACTGTAAACAAGGATAAAAAGTAACTGTTATCCAGTGTCCTTAATTCAAATGATAAGAGCCTCCTAATATGGTCAAAAGATATAGGTACTGTGTAAGGAGCCTCCTCCAACCTGATAACAGGCTTTTAAACTCCACAAAGTACATCCCCAAGAAACACAAGCGTTCAGTGAAACTTTTGCGACAGACTTACTAGAGAAGTCCATCTCTTTGGAAGTCTGATTCAAAGGAGGCTATTGAGAGTTACTTTCTGGACCTACTTCAAGCAAAGCCAGGACTAGTAAACATGAAAAATACGCTTTTGTCACTATTTATTGTTTTTTTTTTCTTCCATATTAACTTTATTTAGTTATTTGATTGCATGTTCTATTTTTCTCCATACTCTCAATGTCCTCACCCTAAAACTAACAATTATTATCTTGATAAGGGCTATTGATGGCAAGAACTAGGTAATCAGATTCCAATAAACATTGCCACAAGTCCAACCAAAAGAAATTACAGAATCAAAGAAAATATATTTCAATTTCCAGAAATGATCCTTGTCTGTCATTCAGGTTGAATTCCATCGAAATTAATGATACTGTATCATTGTAAACATTGTATTTGTTGCTGCATTAATTCCCATTAAGATTTTTTAGTCCAAAAGTGCAAACATAAATATTCGGCCAAAAAATTGGAAATTAAACACCAATATTATTTATTATTTGATGATACGATAAGTACCTGATACAATAATTCTCCAAGAGTGCTAAGTTGTTCATCTGATGATGCAGATGTTAGTAGCGCTTTGAAGGCCTACACATCAGGTTACATAAAAGGTATTCAGCTAATCAGAATAGACTTAAGGAATTCATTATTTTAAAAGAGTCATATACCAACATAATATATTGCAAGTGTCATATACCCAACTGCAAGACATTCTCAACATTAGTGTAGGAGAAAAGAAACAATTGATGGAGTTACGGAATAATTTAGCGTATAAAATGCCTAGAGGAATTTTGAACCTCCTAAATGTGACTGCTAGTTACTAGAAGTAGAACTAATTAAATCACGAGTAATACCAGTATGATTAACTGATTTTCATTATGTCATTCCGAATGCTGTTTTCACCAGTTACTCTTGGGTGGTTGTAGATGTTGCTCAGGAAGTATAGTAACTTCCAAAGCATGAACTACCATTCCAAAGGTAGAAGTCTAGTGATCCAATCTCTCTCCTTTTAAATAACGGGAAGTAACTTATAACTTACAGGTATATAAAGAAAACAAAAATTTACTGCCACTTTAAGAGTTTTGAATGTTTTATAAACTAAAAGAAGAAAGATAATTTGCGACAAGGCAAACATGGGACATTTAATGGAAGTTGGTTAAGGACAAAAAAAAGTTGGAAATTGGGAATAGTTTGAAAATAATACATATTAGAAGCTTGAAATGAAAACGGTAAAAACTTCATTTGACCGTAATCCAAAAATGTGAAAAAGAAATGGTTAGGCAGAAGCACGCAAGGAAACCCAATGAATGCTTAACTTCTGTAGAAGTAAAGAACACCTATTCACATTATATGGGAGTTCATGGGATCTATCAGATATAACACAACAAGAAGTCAAAATTTAAACTTTGTATTGTAAACAAACAAAAACATCAAAAAAATATAATCAACAACAACAACAACAACAAAAAAAAAAAAAAAAAAAAAAGAAGAAGAAGTAGACCCAACCTGGAGTTTTGACCCAAGTCAACCCAAGTTCTACACCCAATCCAACCTTGAATAAAAATATGGCCAGGAACCAATGAACCAGCCCAGACTAAACTGGAACAGTATGAACTCACTAATCCAAACCAACTGAACCAGCAGAAGAAATAAACAGCACGTAAACGTCAAATCTCATAATGGTTTCTTCTGTAGAAAGCATCATGGTTTTGTGTTTCTAATGGCTTTGGTTAAGGGAAGACTAAGACTGAAAGAGCGTTCTTCGAAGCCTCTGTCACCTAGAGATCCTATTGAGACTGAAAGTGATTACCCTTAGTATGAAGAAGAAAGCAGAACAAAGACAGCTGCGAAAAGAGAACAACAGATCCTGGAAAAAGGTTCCACATGCCTTCATCCTCTGTTCACGAGCTCAGTGTGCTTGAAGAGGTTGAGCTTCTTTTATTCAAGGTGGGACAAGCACCATCTAGATCCATTTTTAAATTGCACTTTCTCTGTCAATGAAGGCATTACTTGTGAAGGAATTATTCAAGCGACCAAATCGAGAATCTGTGAGTTTTTTTAATCTCTTGTCTCACCAAGTTCTTGAGGATCATCTTGCCAAATGTGCCTTTTAGTGGTTAACTAATGTGGAGATGTTTCATGTAACTGTAATGGCTTTTGAGAAGCTGTCTAACATTTCTAGTCACCGTTATAGCAACACTATATCAATGCTTCACAATGTCCCAGAAACCAAGTCATGCCTGGTAATCCTAGAATTGGGATCTGATGAATTGATTGTTTAGATTCAGCCGCCGCACTTCTTTGAAAATAAACAAGGGATGATAGTCCATAGAGCATCTTTTCGTCTATGGGAACAATCATAACTCTTGCACAAGAAGAAAGTGACATTATTTTGCAAAAACTATTCTCCATCTTAGTTAGAATGAGTAAAAAGAACATGGAGGCTTGGAAACGAGGGGAGTGAATACTGAAGGACACACTTATACATAAGAGGTTGGCCGGGGAGAGCGATATGAAGAGAATGTACCAGAGTTGGTTTCTTCTGAATAATTCAAGTTAAATATTGAAAGTTCCACTTCAGCTGAAGAGGTTGATGATAAAGATATTTGAATAGAAAATACAATAAATCTTAAACTTCAGAAAAAGTACTGATGCTTGACACCTTTCTCTCTATTGAAGATTTAATGGAGGATTTTTCTCCATTGATTCCTCTAGAAACACCAAATCTTCAATACTAGGAAACAACATCAATTACTGAAAGATTTTCCTCTTCAATACTCTTCATCAGGACACTTTACAATGCTTTTCACAAACTTGAAAATTTATAAATCTCAAACATCAGAAATATTGGATCAGCATAAGAAATGCAATAAAATTTCATCTAGTCTAGTCAAAAATATAATTATTGGTATAGATGAATGATGTGGACAATTTTCAAATAGCAGAAAAACCTTCAACCTCTCGCAAATTTAATATGGTTGTAGGAGTCCAAATCCATAGGTCATAGGTCTTTCTTCTAGTATTAAATAGTAAAAGCATTTGAGTTTGTAATAGATTCAACTGCTCCTGTGCCTTCTATAATTGATTTCGAAAAACAGTATTTGTTTTTTCTTTTTGGAAAAAATATTCAAGATGTTTTCGGGAGTTAATTTTTCTTATAGAATGTATAATTAAGTTCAAGAAATTGTCAAGAGAAATTATCAAGTTTTTAAATACAACGAACTCCAAATAAATAAAATCAAAAGACCTCAATTTCAGTAAGTTCACATACAAACTCATATGCAAAAAGAAACAGAGTTCAAATAGCGAAGAAAATCAAGTTGCTTCAAGTATCAAATTACCAGAAAAATTAAATTACTAACCTTGACCCTGAAATTTTCATAAATGGGATGTCTAGCAGCTGCCTTCACTCCATAACCACGCTTGTGATCAATGACAGTGACTGGATCATTATGATCCTCATGTTTTTCCAAAAATGTCTCACCATGTATAGAATCAGGAAGAAACTTACCATAAAGAGCTTCATATCTACAAAGAAAAGAAATTGATAAGAAATGTCATAGCCTTTAACATATAATCCGAGCACAAACTTGAACTTGCATTGAAAGTATCGTCTTCCAACATATCTCAATTTGGAAGCATCAGCACATGCTTATGTTTTTCCAAAAAGGTTGCACGACTGACATCAGAAGAATAGATAATAAGGAAAAGGAAAGAAAAAAAAAAATAGAAACAGTTTTTAAAATCCAAAACATTATAGATGTATAAAACATCTCTCACGGAATCAAGCTCCTTACATTAATAAATAACATGTTTTTACCACTTACAATAGGTATAGAGAAAAGGTTTGATACCTGTGAGGTGACAGGTTGCACAAGTAATCCAATGAAGATTCCTTTTCAAGTAGTTCAGCACCATCCTCATCCATTTCGCCCGGGTTCATCCCATTTTCACCTGACAATAATCGTGACAACATCGTAGATGCAATAGACTTTATCATCTTTCGACCCATAAAGGCACCCACTCTCACAGATCCGTAGTCTGCACCACCAACACTGCAAAAATTGCCAATTAATCTTGGAGTTGAGGAAATTTAAGACATATGCACACGCATCGCGCGCGCGCGCACACAGAGATTTCTAACTATATACTGAACTTGGTTATACAAGATAGTGACAACTCAACAAATCAATATAGGATGAAGAGAAGTAGAGCTAGTGCTGTATGGAAGCTTCAAGAATCACATATAATCTGAAGAAGGAAACAGAAAGCGAGGAAACGAACATTATACTAATGGATTAGGAAATGTGTTGAGAGTTGAGTTGTGGCAAATGCTCAGCAAGAAGGAATGAGGGAGTTATGTAATACTGAATTTGAAGAAGGGCTTAATAAGTTCCATAAAGGAACGTTTTTACTACATTGAGAAAATAGGGATTCAAAAGGATGAATCCTTCAATCCAAATACTACAGTAGGACACTAGGTCACTACACCAGAAACAGAATACAAGGATAATAAATTGTACTAGATTTTGAATAATCCAAAGCTTAAGGTAATCTCCCAAGTAATATAAATTATGCACCATGGATCCCAACATCAAATTGTTTAGTATGACACCTTGAATAACACAATGAATGCAATCAACATGGCCTAGTTATCTAGGAATAATTTTGCAAACCAATATCAACTAAAGTCACTTGCAAAGGAAAAACTACAAAACTAACATTGTGTAGTCATCCAGGAAAAAAGTTCCGGATGTCAAATAAGGTCATGGCCTATCAACACTTGTTAACAAAAAACTATAAAAACCAAGTATCAAAGACCTCATACCTGTGTCGTATTCCAGAATCAATTCCCCAAACTCGTATATGAGTAGGAATATCCACAAGCCCTACTATCTCAGCAGGCTGCCAAAATTTGCAAGAAAAATATGGGTAATGCTCCTTAAATCTCAAATTATCTTTGCCAAGAGTTGTTTTCTGAACCAGTTATGACTCATACCTGGCAAATCATTGCAAGAAGTTTGTTGGCTTCACCACATGCTGAAGTCATCTGGTCCATTACACCACATGGAGCTCCAACAATGTGATTCTCTACCTATGAAATAATTTCAAATAAATAGGTAAGAGGAAAATTACTAACATGGGATGTTAGAAAACAATAACAGGAAAATGCAAAGATAATTGATCAAAGGCAATGTTAAACGTAAACCTTTTGGCAGAGCAAAGCAAGCTCCCTCGGGCTTATATCCAATCCTACACAATAAATATGAAGGTACAAGTCAAGTATTTTTCCAGTTAAAAAAATAATCAGTTTATGGCAGGCAGAAACAGATTTCATGAAAAAACGAGGCAATTAGTATTTCTTTCATTTCCTCTTATACCACCAAAATATAATAATAATAAAAATAAATTAAAAAAAAAAGGGTAACCAAGTTTAAAAGTAGCTTAAAAATTCAAACTCACTGCACATCCAAATTAAACTAGAAGGAAAGAGAACAAAAAAACTTTTACATGAAAAACAACCATATTTCAAAAACAAGTATTTGCTCTAAATGCACCATATCATGTTAGAAGTTCAGTTGAATAAAATATAAACTTTCGGAAAAACTACAGAAAGTATTAGTTGCAATGGATACCTTTCAAATATCAAAAAGTAGAACTGTATATTAGCTCGAAATATATAAAAGTAGTTGATAATGATTATCATCCTTATTTAGATCATTAATGTCAGCTTAAAAACACAATTCAAAATTTTAATATATGTAATTTTCCACTGCAGGCTCTTCTCTTACCTTATATTTTATCTACTTTTTCTTTCCTATTGGTGACACAGATATGACACGACATGGACATGGCGAAACAGCAAATCCTAAAAAACTATGACACATACACAGTGGCGACACAACGAACAATAAATACATATTTTTATATTTGTTAATATATTATAAGTCTCATATTACATTTTTTTTCCCCTTATCTGAAACTCACACCCCCACAATGTCTCTATAGGAATTTGAACCCTCAAACTTCTACTTTAGAAGATGAGGAAGTATCAATACGCTATAGTCCTTGGTGGTGAGTAATATTATTTTGCATAAAGTTAAGAATAAAATATCTCATATCACAATAACCAATGAACTACAAGAACAATTCTTTTATTTTAAGAAGAAGAAGAAGAAGAAGAAGAGAGAGAGAGAACGGGTTGAAGTATAATTTTATAAACTCCCTATATAAAATTTGCTGCAATATAAATCACTAAGTTAAGAAAAGATTATAGTTGCACAAATAATGAAAGAGGAGAAAAAAAAAAAAAAAAAAAGAGAATATGTTTTAAGTAGAATTTCTAACGCGCTCTAAAATCAGGTATTTGATAACGAAAAGGAAAGTGTACTTTATTTGGGAGAAAAGAACTGGCAAAGGAAGAAAAAATAAAGAAATAAGGAGAATTGAGATTTTGTTGGAAAAAAAAAAAAAAGCACTTTGTTGATAATAAAAGAGATAAGTTGTAAAGAAAGAAAAAAGAAAGGGGGTTTGTTACAAGAAAAGGACAGCATGAGGAAAAAAAAAATGAGAAAGAGGATTTATTAAAAAAGATGGAGGCTCACCAAAAGTCAAGCTTCGATGATTGGTCTTAGCAAGTTCAAAGTTTGGTTACAACAGAGAACAAGATTCTTACAATTTTCTCTATGTGATCATATACAATTTAGAACAAGTAATAAGCATGGGAAGATCAAGGTAAATAAAATTTCATATAAAAGCTTTTTATTTTTTATGTTTTGAATTCCATATTATTGAAACTTTTAAAGGGATTCTGTTGGTCCTACTTTCGAATTAGGGTTTGCCCTTTTAAATGTCAAAATACTGTCACGGGTTCATTTCAGTGAACCTTAAGTGATTCTAGAGTGCTTAGTGCATTACAATGACTTTCAAGGGTATTATGGTCCTTTTACACTCTTGAGATATCAATTCATATTGCTTGAGGAAGGTACATTGTTCTGGAAGTTCATTTTACAAGCCTTCTAGGGTTTCAGTCTTGGGTTGAGAAGGTGTAATTTGGCTTCAAAGGTTCACAGGGGCAATTAGGTCATTTTACTCATGTATAACAGCATTTTAGACTTGCTTGGGATAGTGCATTGTATTTCATTGCTCAGAATTACAATTTGATCAGTAGCTACAGAATTCTGTATATATTGACAAACATCCCTTACAGGGGTATTTTGGTCTTTACAAACGATGAACAAGTGTGTGACACGTGTCTTGTGGTCCTAGTGTGAGAAAATGAAGGTTGTTATGCATTTCTTAGTGACCCGGCTTGATATATATTGCTGATATACATCCATATACAAGCTGTCAAATAGCACACTAGTGGACAAAATAGTGAGCTGTACCAGGGGCATTGTGGTCCTTTCACTGAGAGAATGTCAGAATATACTTTGGCCAATGATTAGCTAATGGTGCCATGAGGATTTCCTCATTAGGGAAGGACTGCATTCCAAATGTCACCTATATGTATCCTGTTATAGCAATGAGCCTCCTAAGCCATTTGAGTGAGCATCCTTGAGCTACATTATGACAAGCACTCGAGACACTAAGAACAATGAACTTTTACTGAGTTGTGAGACTAATTTGTGAGCTAATCATCTCAGTAATCCATATAATGTGAGTGTGTATTTGAAGATTCTGGACAAGGCTTTGTGTTGCTGTTTTTCCGGTGCAAAGGGCTGGTTCGGAGGTTCATTCCATGCTTGAGGCCATTTCAAAGGTGTCCAAGGGTTTACGCAAGTTTGCTTTACCATTTTACAACTGCAAAACCAGTAATCATGTGCTTATTCTTGTTGTAGTTAATTTTGATGTCTCAAACCTTCATCTGTGCTTGCATTTTCTGGTTTAGCCTTCTGATACGAGTACATATAGTTGATATTTTGCTGTGAGTTGCATTTTTATCATTTAAGCAAGTTTTTATAGTTGATTCAAGGCTGTTCAAGTTGAACTTTGCACAGAGAAATGATCATTTGGTGTTTTGACCTTTGAAACCCTAGGTTTCAGGGTTTTCTGCAGATATAAGCCCCATTGAGCTGTGATTGTAGTATACCTTGCTTGAACCATTGAGAGTATCATTTGAGCATGTGTATGATGTTGATATAAGGCTGTGGGAATCAAGTTCTACTCTGTGTTGATAGGAAATTCCATATTTACCCTTCTATCACAAATTCTGCATAATGATGTTTTGTTGCTGCTGTTTGATACTTTAAGTTGTACATTCACTCTGATCTTGTGTAATAGCTTAAGTATTGTTTATATTCATACATTTTAATGTATTTGGTGAGTTATGAGAGCTCCTAGGGTCCAAGCAGGGTTGCTTAGGACAGGGGGAGTGCTTGTGTGCATTGTTGTGAGCTAGGGTGTGTGCAGAGTGAGAGACAGTTGTGTGTGCGTATCTACTTGCATTACAACTAGTGGAGATTACATTGGCTGTGGCTAAGAACCAAGGTATTTAATCTCTAGTTGAGATGTGGTTGAATGTTTGAGCATTGTGTGTATTGAAAATATTCTAAGTGTTGCAAAAAGTTTTGTAAAAGAATCAAGTTCTACTCTGTGTTGATAGGAAATTCCATATTTACCCTTCTATCACAAATTCTGCATAATGATGTTTTGTTGCTGCTGTTTGATACTTTAAGTTGTACATTCACTCTGATCTTGTGTAATAGCTTAAGTATTGTTGATATTCATACATTTCAATGTATTTGTGAGTTATGAGAGCTCTTAGGGTCCAAGCAGGGTTGCTTAGGACAAGGGGAGTGCTTGTGTGCATTGTTGTGAGCTAGGGTGTGTGCAGAGTGAGAGACAGTTGTGTGTGCGTATCTACTTGCATTACAACTAGTGGAGATTACATTGGTTGTGGCTAAGAACCAAGGTATTTAATCTCTAGTTGAGATGTAGTTGAAAGTTTGAGCATTGTGTGTATTGAAAATATTCTAAGTGTTGCAAAAAGTTTTGTAAAAGAACCAATTCAAAACACCGGCACCCACCCACACCCCCCCCCCCCCCCCCCCCGGTTCATCAGATTCCACATACTTTATCCCAAAATTTTCTCAATATCCCCTTTAATCAGACGTATGTCCACGACATGTCTATCACATGTCAATGGCGTAAACAAAAGTATTCTGACACATATCACTTGTCGGGCTGTGTTCATGTCAAACACAAGTCCGACACGGACACTTCGACCATTTAGACATGTCCGTCGTTCCTACCTGATTAAAAAGCAAGCTATAAGAAGATAAGGAAATAACAAACCAAATGAATTAGATAAACTTAAACCTAGCTAAACTTTAGCATATTTGCCAACTGTTGAAAGATATAAAAATTGAAGAGAGAAATTAAACATGAATAACACAAGATATAATGTGGTTTGGCCACTGCGACACACAAAGCCCAAAGGACTACATCACTTTCATTATATTCTCTCTTAATATTGTTTACAATGAGCACCTCCATTTATAAGCGAAAGAATACTAGTGATCAATATGGAAAATGCATTAATGGAGGATTCCTAAAATCAATCCCATAAGTCACTCCAATCAATATTCTATCATAGGCTAAAATAACTCCTACGATATTCTCTCAACACCAACTAACCTGTCTAGTTCATTACATTCTTTAACAAACTAAGTGAATAAGATAAAACTGGATCCTGTCATAGAAGTTACTAATTGGTAAGTTCATTGAGTAAACAAGTAAGTTAATAAACCTGTCATGGAATAGAGTTACTTAATAAAGTAGCTAAAGTTTAGGCATATTTGCCAACTGAGCTGTCAAGTTCATTACATTCTTTAACATTTCCAGTGAGGTGGCCTTTTTTGTTCAGCATTTCGAAATTGGATTTTGCCTTTATACCTTTAGACGAAACTTTAGAAATTAAATTATTGATGGAGTGTCATTACAGTTTTTAACAGTTTTGTAAAACAGGGGTGCATGGGATAAAGGGACAAACTGCCACATCTAGGATCTAATTTGTCAATGTAGGCAATGTCCAGGACTAGAACTAGAAAAGAAGGAAGTGGGGAGGGGAATGAACAATGTTGTTAAAGGCGCGCCTAGGCGTGAGGCTCGAGGCTCAGGTTTAGCGCCTGTTGTCATCCCAGCCTCACTGATGTTTACTAGGTGCGCGCCTCAGTTGTGTCTCGTCCTGTTTGTGAGGTGCGCCTAGGCACGCCTCACTGATATTTGTTTAAAAAAAATACGATTGTTCTATTTCTTAAACCAAAAAGGGTACTTTTGGCAACTTAATAAACAAAAAAGAAAGCTCAATCATACGATATGAGGAACTTTTGCTCAAAAGCATAAAAATTAAGAAAGCCCAAGAGTCGAAAGTGTTAACCGAACAACGATAGAATGAGATTGTCAGACGAAGACGAAGCCCTAGTTGCAGAGATGAACGACGAAGCCACGTCAGTTCTTTCTTTACTTTTTTTTCTCTCTTCTCCTCTAGATCTCTCATCTCTTCTTTATCTTTGTTTACATCTCTCTCTTCGTCTAGTTCTGTCATCTCTCTGTCTTCTTTTTTTTGCTCTGTTTTTTCTTTTTTTTTTCTTGTTAACAATTTTTTTTTTTTTTTTTTTTGTTAACATATTTATTTTTGTTTGTGCTTTGTTTTGCCATTCAAAAAACACATTTTGCTTTGCCTTTCAAGAAAACAATTTATGCTCTGCTTTATGGTTGCTGGATGCTTGTATAGTTGATGGATTTACTTTTTTATATTTGATATTAATTTTTAGAATATTGATATGACTTATGAGATATGAATGTTATTATGGTAGTTTAAATTTTCAATTGTGCGCCTCACTTCACTCAGGCGCGCACCTCGCAGTGCGCCTCGCGCCTAGGCTCCAAAGGACCTCTAGCGCCTTGATGCGCCTTGGGCCTTTAATAACTATGGGAATGAATAGGCCTTGAAAAATAAAATTTAAAAACTTAACGAATTATTCAACTACCACCAAGATAGTGATAAATAGAGCAGAATTAAAGCAATCACAAAAGAACACTAGATTACGTATTAGACTCTTATCCTAGAATCACCAAAGTTAAGTTTGATCCAAAGTGATGCAAGATACTCCTGTCGAGTTCTGCTGTTTTTTATCAATGAATCTGCTACTTATGCAATTCATTTCTTCTACCTTAATTGTTCTCCTCTAGCAAGCCATCCAATCTCTTCAGTATGTTGTTTTCTGCCCAGGGTTGATCAACTCAACACTCACCATCTAATGCAAGCATGCATGACGATGGTGATGAGAATAAAGGAAAAAAGCTCCAGATTGCCTATATGCCCTCAAAAGATTACATGTGTGTATAGTTATGAACCTAAAGAGTGTTTCTATAGGTTTTAGGGCTGAAGGGATTAGGGATCTGAATCTTTAAGACTAAATACAAAACACTTGCCCGAAGGGTTTGATGATCCATCAATTGGGTCATCAATCAAACTAAAATAATCAGGCCAATCAATAGGATAGATCGAGTGCCATGTTTCAATGTAACCTTGGTTTTTCAATTTAAAACTAGTTTCCATGTGTTCAAAGTATCTATGCAACGCAATCTAAACATGAGCAATCTAAACACGAGAAATGATAATAGAGCAATTGCAGTATGTACTTACTGATCATATTTCTAAACCAAATCACATTTGAAACATAAAAATGGTTCCAAATATATGGAAACCTTGTGCTTGCTTGCCAAATTCCTAGCCCTGGGCTGGGTGATTGTGCAGGATAGCCAAATTCCATATACACTCAAATGTGTGTGTGAATAAGAAAACACTATCCTTGTGGTGATCAAAGTGGAGTTGAAGGGTAGGTGACTGTTAATAAAAAGGAATTATCCTTTTCTCGAGGTTCGACTACCTCACCAATGGGGTTTAATCAGATAGATTGGAAATAAGGATGCTAGGCTGAGACAGCGATTGCTGTTATGCGAAGTAATTGGGTCCAACAATAAATGAACAGAACATGTTAGAACCTCATTAAAACCCTAAGGGGAACTTATTTATAACTTCATCCATTGTATAACCTTGAGGATACATCAAGTATACTGCTGAATAGAAGTTTCACCAGATGCAGGTTCAGTTTACATGGAGAACAAAGTGATGTGAATCTAGAAAGCATGGGTACACCTAAAGGTTGAAAGTATCAGACACGACCACACGCGGAACCTATAGGACACACCAAAAGTGTCGATATTTTTTTATAAACACATACGTGGACACACATGTTGGGTTAAAAGAAATTTTTAAAAAAGTGTTTCGAAAAAAGATGGGTTAAAATATAACGCATTTAAAATTCTTTGAAAAGTTTCAATAATATGGATAACAAATATTTATTTAAAATTTATCAAGCAATACCATTTACCTGATTTTTATGGTCATTACTTGTTTAAAATTGTAAAATATCAAAAAGAAGAAATAGAACAGTCTGGCGTAGAATTTGCTACGAACGATCGTTGAAGGTTGACTCTTGCTTAGCCGCCTCCTTTTTCTTCTTTAACAAATCCTCTTCTCTTCCTTTTTCATTTCTTTTTGTGCTCTTCTTCCCATCACAAACCTCTTTCGGATTCTCTCTTTTATTAACAACAGAACCCTATATTTTCCCAACAAAACCCTAATTCTCTCTATTCATTAATTTTTTCTTTCTTTAACTGAATCTTTCTCTCCTAACAAAATCCCCGTTTGTTTCTTTGTAAAACTGCAGCCATTTGTTTAAGTTTGGGTTTTGATTAAAATAAAATTTATAAAAGGAGTTTAGAAATTCTACCCCATTCCTCTCTCTCTCTCTCTCTTTTCTTCTCTTCTCTTCTTAAAATGAGAGAGTACTATTGCAACTCATTAGCGACTATAATTTGTGGATTAGTGATTCAGTGATTCTTAGGTTGATGAAAAATAATATCTTATAATACATGTCATATATGAAAAAATAGTTATTATTAGTCATGTCCCTACAGTGTCCATTTAGGATTTGCATTGCTGCCATTTCTGTATTATATCATATTTGTGTCCCATATTTATATCTGTGGTTCTTCGATTAGAGCTGAGTACATGTTGAGAAGAAAAATGAAAAGCGACAACAAATCTAAGGCTAAGCTATCCTATGCTAGGCTAGACTAGGCTTGGCTCAGCTAAGGATAGACACATCGCAGGAATATTAATGTTAGGTGGGTGTGGGCTATACTTCTATGTAGAAAATCTCTCCTCTGGTTGAGTTAGGATGGTTACTTCGGTGAGTATTGAAGAGACAAGTCACTTCCTTTCTAGGCCAGATGTCCCTTCAAAAACGCTATTCCAAGTTCATACAGCAAACTGATTGTGATGTTTTTGTGGAGCCGGTGGGTGTTCACTGTTCGAGACCATTTACTTTCACACTTGGCACATTATCGTTACTCACTACATTATCTAACCAATTGTCATATATGAAGGGGATATTGGTCTGTGAGTCCCCAAGCCACCTTCAGCTGTTACTCTGAGGCTGAAATATCTATCTGCTCAACCTGAAGTGCATCTAGAGGAACACCAAGGTGTTGTGTAATGATCATGCTCTGTGTCGACATCTGATGAACTTACATGGCAACTTATTAAACTGCATCAAGCACATTAGGTAAGGTGTAAATATTGCCTCTTGAATCCACATAAAGATTCAATGGGACAATTTGAAATAAAACAGGATAAACACCTAACTAGTTCTTCTAGGAGATGTGGTGCTCATCCAGCCATTACCCACACAAGGTGTCCTCTACACACTCTTTTGGAAAGATCCATCCCAAGGTAAACGGGAAGTTATCAGCTATTGTGGGCAAGGCAAGGAAGGATATGGATTCTTGGCATGAGGATCACTTCAATAAGGACACTTGATATAGTAGGGACCATGTTTTTTAAGTTCCCTTTTGCTGAAATCTGTAGGTCAGGAGAGAGGAGGGGAGAGAAAAACTAGCCCCACATAACCAGTTACATTTGAGATTTTGATGTAGAATTTAAATGAAATCCAAAGCTATCTACATATATTTGAACCACATCCACAAACAATAAGAATGCAACAAGCTAAGTAATAGCCAACTCTATAAAAGCTAATCAAACAAATCAAAACAATAAGTTAATACTTTTTAATGATAATATAATGGAAGTGTTATAATTACCATGAGCCGCAGCTATAGCAGACATGCTAGCAACCTCCACGGAAGCAGAAGAAGATACACCTTTGCCTTCTGGAACAGCAGAAGAAACCTGAAGTTCATAACAAAGAACATTATAAAACAAAGTTTTATCCATAGCCTGTGTTGTGTACAGATTAAATTGTAGAGATGGATGTCTCTATTGAAAACCAATGGTCCTCATATGAAATAAATTTCCTATGCCAAAAATGGAAAACATATGAGAATAAGATGACGAATGAAGATGTTAGAATTAAAAACATCCTGTCAAAATATGCGAAGGTGAGAACAACTTGAACAGATGATAAGAAACAGGAACAAAGTGCTGTATCGAAGTTTGTATCGCAGGCAGTAGCACTGGGCACAGTGAGAGATACTGATGACAGCTAAGGGTTAAGTTCCAAGCAGATGTTATAGATATTTTATCTAGCACAAAGGTACAAATGAGAAAGGAAGAAACCCTTGACATTAACTGGCCAAACCTAGACGCGAAAGCCCTACTCAAAGCACAAATGTGTCGTAGACCTTCAAACTGTGACAACCACTTGCATATAGCTTAAGTTGTTAGAAATTGAACCCAACTATCATCTATGTATATCAAGCTCTCAAAACCTTTCTCAAACGCAACTCTCTAGCAATGCTAGCCACTGTGGCCCTGGATGCAATAGCGATTGGCAAATAGCGGAATGATTGCACGAAATTCTCAGCCTGGTAACCTGCACCTCACATTCATGGTATCTACATTCACCTGTGCCTCAGAGACACCATCAAGCATGCCCACCCATGGTGACTTCTTTCACGAAATTCTCTGGTCCAGGTATCTTCAAGTGGTCTCCTAGTGTTAGGATAAATCCTGTCTGTCCCAGATATCTGCAACAACCTTCCATGCCTTCTTTTTTTTTTTTTTTTTAATTAAAAAATATGAGACACAGTGAAGGTAATATTGACCCATTCAGTGACTGACAGTAGAAACAGGTGCAAACTGAGAGACTTAAGTCTAAGACCTTTTTAGACTGAAGTTATGATATCATGTCAAACAACCACTTGTCCCAAAAAACTTAAGCAGCAAGAAATGGGCCCAAAAAGTATGTCGATCTATAACACAAATATTGCAAGATGCCTGAAGCCTTGAATTTTTATATTTTTCAAGTGATAAAGAAAAAAGGTTGTTTGAAGCTGTGCAATCAAGGCCTATGTTACATGGACTCGGGCACGGGTGTCGGACACGGGTATGTATCCATGCGTCGGACATGTCAAATCTCCAAACAGAAGGACACACGGACACAGCTAAATATTCATTTTATTTTATTTTTTTATAGTAAAGTAATGTTTTTATCAAATATAATGTTCAATATAGGCATTTAACTCATTTTAAAGTAATAATATAATGCAATTGAATGATTGGATATGCTTTTTAAGTACATGTCTAACCAAAAGTGTCAAACACATATCCCATACCCATGTCCAAGGGATATGTGTCCGACACGGGTACTTCACTACTTTTGAAGAGTCCATGTAACAGAGATCAAGGCTATTATATGAAGAAAGCATGAATGAATGGCTTAAACAATTAATTCACAGGAAATGCCGAGCATACTTAACAAATATTATATAATTATAATATATATACTTGCAAAATACACATGGATCATATACACATAAAACATAAAAAAAAATATCGATAATAGGTACATGTCTATCTTTTAGCAAGGAATGATTGAAGTAAAGTCATTTCTCAATTCCTAAACTAAGAATCTCTAGTATTTTTAGTATACCCTCTTTCATCCTCCCTCAAACTTGAGGTCACCAGAGTTTTTCATTGAGTTTGGAAAACGACAATAAATTAAAAAATACGCTTCATCAATCCAAGAGTGGGTACCACGATATAGGTAGCATTGATAATACTCCAAAATAACATTGCCCTCAGTTTATAGTACTGTAAAAATTTCTTTTGTTATTTCATATTAACCTGTCTTAAAAATTGATTTAGCCCTAATTTCACTGATACCCAAAAGGAAATAAAACAACTAGTGCTTGTAGTAGCAGTCATAGCAGTAAATATTAGAAGTCATGTTGAAAGATGTTAGTTGCAACAGATCCAGCCTTAAGACTTTCTATAGTAGCTGTCATATTTAGCTCCTTTATTTTAGGGATTTGATTATTATGATTGCTGTAAGTAGGAGCAGATTTAGCTCCTTTATTTAGGGATTTAATTATTATGATTGTTGTAAGTTAGGAGCAGATTGTAGGGTTTTGTTTTTTCCTTGTATAGTTTTTCCCTCTTTCCTATATATACTTGTACAAAATGTAAACATATTATATATAGAGAGAGAATTTTTCTCTCTAAAAAACAACAGCTTACACTTGCAGCGACCCACATATTCTTTTGCTCTAAACATGTGAGGATCCTACAGATTAGAAAGGCAAAATTGTCCTCATCCCAACTAGTACAGCAAGCTTCAAGCCAAATAAATAGCAAACTGTGAGTGTTTCATTAGTTACATTTTTTAGTCAAAAAGAAGTCCTTAGTTACATTTTTTAGCAAAAAGAAGTCCTTAGTTATATTTTTTAGTCAAAAAGAAGTCCTTAGTTACATTTTTTAGTCAAAAAGAAGTCCTTAGTTACATCGAGTCCCACAGAAGCATGATTCTTCTGACTTCATGTTCATGGATGACAGTTTTGCTCTTCTGCCTATGTGTCTAATTTATAAAAGGGAACCACTCCCAAATCCCAGCAATAACAGTGCGTGTAGCTATGATGGTATAGAAATTTGAAAATAAAATAGGGTAGGTGTAGCATCATGTGATTTGTTGCACCTGTATCTGGTAAACTGAACTGGCACATGCTCGGAAGATGCATAGCAACAGAGGAGGGAGGTGGTAAATCAATAAGTTATACCCTCATCTTTGACAAACTCGTACTGAACCAGATGGAGAAGTTTGGGCACTAAATTCAGTTAAAGGTGAATGAGATTATTAACTGTGAACTAGAGCAGTTATCCCAACGTGCTATGTAATTTCATTCCTGCTGTGACCATGACAGTATGACCACAGAGCTGAGACTGAATTGAATGACAAATGATTGAAATCAGGCAACAAAACCAGTTAATTGAATATCGGACTGAATGAGTAGATGTAGGCCAAGAGACTCAAGACGAAGAACTTGACAGTAAAGATAGGTTGGAATTTAATAATGAAGCCTTGCTTTACAAACAGCAATGCAATGCAATGCAAAAGAATTCATATACTAATGACATCATATATCGTCTACAGGCTCGTCCTATATCCATATCCTCATTGCTGAGGCTCTCATTGTCTAGGAAGATTTTTTGACTGCCTGACATTTGGTAAAACTGTACCTTTCTTATATTTATTCATTTGAAAATAAAATAGAAAATTACACATACGCACACATTTGATCTGATGAAATCATGATTATAAATTCAAATTTAGTATTTACTACAAAGTGCTTTCTAAGTATGAAAAAGGATAGAAAAACAATCAAATACTTCAACAATTCAGTGAAAAACAGAGAGTAGCTTTTTGGTACTCCTGAAAGTGGATATTTTAAAAGTACGTTATATAAGATCTTGAGTGTCCAAACAAAGTATATAATAGCCAGAAACGCAAAATAAATAAATAAAAAGGTGCAGAAAACATATCAACTTAAAACATTTCAAATACAGTTCAACCTTACAAATAAACAGTTTCAAATACTTGAGCAATTCAGGCAGTTCGCAAATAGTATACTTATAGGAACCCACAGAAGTTTTAGAAGAAAACAACAGTCTTCAAATGAAAGAAAATAATTAGCCTTAAACACAATCAAAAAATTTACATACCAACAATTATAAGTGTTATAGAATAATAGATTTACATATATTATGCATGATAACAGTATTCTGGCAAAGGAAGAATACCAGCATGCTGATACTGTTCTCAAAGCGTACGCCTAGTTCTGTCATTAAAACCAGAATTGTCCCCGCCACATACGCTGCCCATCTAAAGTAAGGACTATATTAGTATATAATACAAAGTTACAGATAAATTAAACACAGAAGACTAACCCACCTCTGGGATGGATCTTGGGCAAAGTACTGTTTTGCCTTTTCATATGTCATGGGCTGCTCTCCATCCATAAAATCAGATAAATCCATGTCAAACGTCGGACCACGGTTGCTCAATTCTGAGCCATATGATACCTGATATGCCAAAATGTGCACATGACAAAGAGATCAACTGAAGAAAAGAAATAATCTCTAGATATGCTCTACAATTGAGCAGGATTTTTGCTCTGAAATTATTTGAGCAACTTCTTCTGATGTATATTTTGAATTAGATGTAGGCTCCTCAGTCTCCATCCCCCAAAAGAAGAAGAAGAATCAACTTTAAGAAGGATCAATATGTTAGTGCAACAGCGATATATATTAAACCAAAAAAATAAACCCATATTCCCCATTACTTACAATTTGTAGAACGGGTGTTGGTCCTTGCCCTTTGACATGCTGTCGAGCCTGGGCATGTTTCCAAAGCCTTTGTTTACTGGGATGATTCTTTTGCACAGCAACATGGCAGGCTTCTCTAATAGGCATCTGTTGATATTTAAGTAGTAATAGAAATCAAGAACAATAGAATATAAAAATAATTAAATTATTATAGAAAATCAATAAATTGGAATTACACAGCTAAGCGGCAGAACAATGAATAGGAAAGCAAGGAAATGAGTTTCCACCAACCATAGCTGCAGTAAAATCTAATTATAAATGATTCAATAAAGATGAAATGTATGAAGTATAATAGTTGTCCATGTTATTGTCACCATTTATGGAAACTTAAGAATCTTTTCTGACCTGAATCAGCTTCAACCTTTTTATGGATTTGATCTTTGATTCTCATCCTTTCAAACTTCTACCAATATAAGATATTTTCATCTTAAACTATATACAGTGATCATCGGACAAGAGATGCCTTTTGTCCTTAAACTATGTACAATGATCAACGGACTAGAGAAGCCTTTTATCAATGAAAACTGTCACTTTCTTCTGATTTAATGTTATAATTACTCAATTAGTTTGCATATATATCCCTTACTTTTGGTAAAAATGGAATATGTATAGAAGTAGAAGTGAACTTCTCCAACCTTCTCTCTCTTGACATTGAAGGCGAGGAGAAATATTGACATACAAATAAATTCCCCTGGTGAGAAATAACATTGCTGTTTTTTGGCCAAGGGAATGAACAAATTTATAACATTTTTTATTATTTTATTTTCTACCTTTTGTAGCCATAAAGTGGAATTTTCCTACACCAGTTCTTTTAAATATTTTTTAGTCAGATGATAATCAAATAAGAAGTCCAGTAACTGTAAGGCAAACAGCAGCTCATTCACTGGATAAAGAAGTAATTAGAATCAGCTTTTAAAATGAGGCCCAATATCCATTAGTCTATAATTCTTCAAGTAAATGTACAGACAGAAACAGCAGAAGGGTGCCACTCATGTACAAGCAATATATACGCAACTACACTCCACAAACATTCATATTCCAAGTTTGCAGTGCATGTATTCAAAGACATTTCCCCACCAACGCTTGATTAAACTACCAAAATGATCTCACTCCAAACCCCCCAGATTGCAAGGGAATATAAACTTTTTTCCATGCCACAAGACGGTATTTGAAATCCTTCCAAATCTGAATGCATGAAAATCATCCATATCTTTCGAGAATCAAACACACACCATGATGGTAAAAAAAATAATAGCATGCAATAAAAGTGGAAATGAGAAAGTTAACAACATTGTGAGGAGAGGTTCTGAAGTCCAGAATGTCTCGATCGGTTAAAACTTAGACTGGTGCTCGATCGATATGCCGATTGATCGAAGCAACACTGGGGGCACTCCATCAGTGCCTCAACCAATCAACCTGCGATGGAATATGTTTTTGGAACTCTCTGACAATAAAAATTTTAAAGGATTTAGTTTCCTATTTACATAGGAATCCTATATTGGCCACAAAGATGGGGTTATAATCTTGGATATAATGAGTCTAGGGCATTTCTACAAGTCTAACACATTGTTGAGAGAAAATTTTCTTTTATAGAGAGAGCTTTGTGATTCAATGTAGGATTTACCCTAGATCATTCTATATATGTGATTGGAGATTCAAAGCAAGGAGCATATCAGAGACTATCAAACAGAGCAACTGCTGGGAAAAATTTGAAGATCAAGGATGGAAAAACCATGGAGAACATGCTTGGGGATGATCAAGTCTGTTGACTGAGAGGTTGAGGAGAATCATCTGTCAAGAGGGTGAGTCAAAGATAACTAGGGGATTCTGGGGGTGGAGTCTGGTTAACCTAGTGTGTAATACCTTTCTCATAGTGGATTGTTCATTGCTAGACTAGGCCCTGTGATTTTTTCCTTTCTAGGGTTTTTCATGTAAAATATCTCGCATCTCTGCTACATTTTATTTATTGCTATGCTTTTGTGAAATTGCAATTTAGACATGTGTTTAATTAACTACCTGAAAATTGAACAAGAATTAATAGAAACATTAGAACTTAGTACTCTGGGTCTGATAAACTGTTCGTACTCTGACATATTGGAGCCTTGGGTAATGGTCCCAATTTGTCATCCTTTTTTTTTTCTTTTTTTCTTTTTTCTTTTAAAGTTTTGGACATATGGCGCAATTACACTGGATAGATTGATTGTAAAGGAAAATTTTAACAATATGACGCTGTCTAACTAAAGGGTAAATTAGTACTTCATTTCACAAGTAAAGCCAATACCATTAGCCATATTTGCAAATTTTCAATAATTCAGGGGTTCTTTTATCATGAGAGTAGGGAATTTTGAAAAAATTAATAGTTTAAGAGGAGTTTCAGTAATTTATTCAAACTCTAAAACATGTTTTGAAAAATGACTGAAAACGAAAACTAAAGATCACAAAGTATAATAATATTTAACAACCATCTACTCCAAAAGCTTAACCTGTTAAAGAGGGTGTAACTTAAATATTTAAATCCTTCAACACGCCTCCTCATGTGTGGCCTCCTTTTTGCTTCAACATGTGTTTCAATTTTAATTATCAGGGTGACAGTGAGGTTTGAACGCAAGACCTTGCCTGCTCTAATACCATGTTAACAACCATCTACTCCAAAAGCTAAGTTGTTAGAGAGGGTGTAACTTATATATTTAAATCCTTCAACAATAAAGAACTTAACAAACTAAATACAACTAAAATTCATGCACCAATCGATGCAAACATTCAAAAGCAAATGGAAAAAAAATCCTACCTTCAAACCCATGACTTCTAAGAAAAAATAAATATACAAAATATAAAAAATTTCCTTGCAATAGAAAAAAAAATAATAATAAAAGATAACTCCTTGGTTTTTTTTTGTACTTTCTTTCCTATACTTATTTCCTATATACATATTTAGAGAGAACGTAATGTAATCAGCTTATGAAAGAAAATAAAAATCTTTAAGTAGGGAAAACAGAGAGCTAGTTCAAGCTAAAAAATAGTTAAACACCCACAACTCAATCCCAAAGAAAGGGAGAGGTAGAAAGCTGCTATAGCAGCTGAATATATTGATAATCATCAAAAACTGCTGATTACAAATTGGAACAACCCTTTTATAAGACACAAGGGATGCCCTAGCAAAGATTAAATCCTAGCCCTTCATTTAAATGTAACCTAAAGGCTAGTATTATGTCCAGCAGAATAAGAGCTATTAAATGACAAAATAGTCCTTAAATAGTCAAATGACTCACTTAAAAGGCACATGACTTGTAAAATAAAACCAGAATGACAATAATACCCTAAACATGAAATAAAAGACTTAAGACTTGTATAAAAGACTCTAGACCCATAAACAATCACACAATCTGACTCATCATTGGCTGCCCATATTTATGGAAACTTGGTCTAGTCTTCTTAGGATGTTTAACCATTTGAAGATAGTCCTCTTCCACTTGCTCTGCATCAGATGGGCTTCTTATCATGATTCATGAACTAATGTAATGTCTAATTCTAAAAGTAAATCCTTAATGAAAATTGTGCAAAAGCTATTTATAATCGTAACAGTATTAACTTCTTTCTCCTATGCACGTTTTAAAGCCTCCTCGCCTCTGATCTCAATTTTCCAAGCCTAGTGATGCAGCATAGGAAAGGGAAATGGGATGAGAATACATAACCATATGGGATGAAATGAGAAAGATGGAAGAAGAGGACAGTCAGATGGACTAAAATGGATTAAAAAAGCAAGAATAGGTATGAGAAGAACGGAGAAGGGAAATTTTTGAAAACACAATAATTTTCCAATCAAGTCTGGATACAATGATTGGAGACTCCCGCACATATTTGCGGAGCAACAATGTTTGACCACTAAAAGAACTCGATCAACATGAAGTGATTGCATTGGTGTAAATCACTGCTGCATGTGATTCTGAAGACACTGGAGTCAGAGAGCACTAGGCTGTGAAGGTAAATCAGTAGTAAATGATTCCAAAGGCACTAGGATCAATGACTCGAGAAGAGCAATTCCGAAGACACTGAAATTCATATTCTTTCACTATATAATGGCCAAATCTCCATGGTTTTTCCTTGTTGAAGTTTTCCACGAAAAATTCTAGTGCCTTTATTTATCTCTTACTCTTTACTTTATATTTTTTTACTTATGTGTGGTTGAATCATTAATTAAATTATATACCAAGTTGGTAATAGTTGATCTCATTCCTCACTAATTGTTGCCACGTGTGAAAATGTACGCGACACGCAAGAAAAATTGAGCCATGGTACCAAGGTCAGTATTCTGCACAAAGAACTATTCTTTTCTGAGGATTTCATCCTTGAAAATATTAGCCCTTGTGCCATACTTTCCTCATTAAATCCTAGGAAGGATGGCTCGTGGACAATTTCTAAAATTAAGTGATCAACAGGATCAAACAATATAGTAGACTTAGTTATAGATTCTACAATCTTTCTAAAAATTGATTTGCAGATTGCAAACCATTAGATTCGGGATATGTCAGGAGGTGAGTGGGAGGAGGTATTTTAGACCAATGATGGACCATAAGAATAGCCAATTATTTCCATTCAGGATTTATCAATATACAGGTAAATTATGTAAATTTTAAATATAAGCTTTCCGAGCAAAAATAAAATTACAAAAATGCAAACCAGTAAAGATATTGCAAAAACATTCCTTCGCATGCAAAAAAGGAGAAATGAACCTTATTTGTAGAAAATACAATGGCATGGAAACAAACAACCTACAGAGACCAAAAAAAAAATGCCTAGCAAAACAATTTCACCTGCAAGACTAGGCTTCCAGAATAGTCAGCTATTCCTCCCATTACATCCAATCTTCCAGGAGCTCTTGAAACAAAGATTTCTTCCTACACAATTAATATTCAAATAGTAAAAAAATGAGGTGACTACAATTTTCACAAAGAAAATAAAATAATCGTGACATAATTCCATCCATGTGTAAGATAATTTGAAGTAATGATTCATGGAGTAACGTAAGAAAATTAAATAAAACAACATAATAGTTAAGACTAATCCATCAGTTATAATAAACATGAAAACATATCAGGATCATGTGTTTTAACTTTTAAGTTAATTAGCATTGCCAAACATTATATAGTGCTGCTCAGCAGTAATTCGTGACTGGAAGTGAAGTCTGACTTGCCTCCAGAGGGGGAAGAAAAGGAAAGAAATAAAAGTAAAAAAAAAAAAAAAAGGAAAAATTGGGCCTTCTTCACAAAACACATTCCATAGCAAGACTCTTATACTTTAAATGTCTATCAAATCACTAAGATCAATGTGCACTCACATTCAGACAAAGAAGTATCCATTATTTTTATAAATAATGTCAGTGCAACAAATGATTATAAAATGTACGCATTGTCTAAATTATTCTCACTTATATTGGGTATAATGATATATTGAATAATTATTATATCAAAGACACAATGGTGATCCTGCTTAACATTCACCCAATAGGTTTGCTATCAACATCGATCAATAATGGTCACTTTTAGAAAAATTGCAACAAGTTCAAGTTTAAATGGACACCTCCCAATTGAAGATACCCGCAGCAGCAATGCATTCCCGCATCCGGCGCTTCTCAGTACTTTTTCCAGAATCATATAAAGTATCTAGTTCTGCCAAGCTCTTCAGGAAACTCATTGTATCCGAAAGACCCTGTAGATCTCCATCGAGAATTTCAAAGTCCTTAGTGTATCTAGAGAAAGAAATATGGAGATGTTAACAGAAGTACAAAATCAACCATTTTCTTGAAGTTTTCCAGAAAATTAGAGGAAATAAATAACTCACGAATGCATAAGGAAGCTATTCTCAGTCATTTCAGAAGTTGGTGACCCAGTGCGAAGCCCAAATTCATTTTCAGCATTTGCATACCAATCTGGGATGCAGAGATCTCTTCCGGGAACTCTTTGTAGTTGATATCCAAGAACTATGGCATCACGCAATCTTCTAGCCCCACTAAGCTACAATTCAAGGCAAAAGAGAAAATAGGAACCTTTTACAGAGCGATAAATATGTGTATCAGAATACATTTAATCCCAGCCATGTGTTCGTTGATCAAAACTAGAGTCCGGAGTTAGTGTTATGTTTGTTTCCTCTTCCTCATGGTTGAAGATGAAATTCAAGCTACATTCAAGGGTAAATAAGTAATCTTCTACACCAAGGATATATCGGTAAATAGACACTTAAATGCACTCACCAAAATTATGGTTCATGCATTCATTAAGGTTTCCAATAATTCATGATTTGATTTGATTTGGTTCAGAATATCCTTTTTCATATGCAAGCAAAGTGTTTTGGAAATTACCTTTCTGAATTTTTTTTAGTGCAAGTCTATGGAGGATTTTGATCGATCGAAGCTCTCTAAAGTTGTCCCGATTGATTGACCAGCTCCTCGATCGATCGAACTGTTTGGATCTTCAGTTTCCTTTTCAATTTTAAACATTCAAAACCCTATTCTCTCTATACTACAATTTTGACTATAAATCCACTACTCTTCAGCAGATTACAAACAGCTAGAATACACACAGAATTCATAAAGCATATAGAGATATTTTATGTTTTTAAGTGCATATTTCTTTTAGCATTCATCATCTACATTAGTTGTGAGTCCTATTCAAGTGTTTTGACATCAAATGTTGCAGAGCTGTAACAAGCTTCAACACCAACATCAATTTATTCATTAAAGATTGACTTTGACGACTATTGACTGAGACCGAATCACTGGAGAAAATTCATGGAGCTAAGTCTATTAATGAGCGGATCACGTACCTGGCAAGTCATAGAGAGTTTGGTGGATTGATCTGTGTCAAGAGGCAAATAGAAGTTTTCTAGAGTTCGAAAATTTGGTAACCTAATTCGTAAATCACTTTTGCATAGTGGATTCAGCTTGCCTGGACTAGATCCCGTGGTTTTTCTCGATTGAGTTATCCACGTAAAAAAATTCTGCCCCAACTTTTATGCTTTACTGCTTTAAATTTTATTTTTGCGTGATTGATTTTTTATTTATTTTTCCCTAGTTGAGACTCACACACCCACTTTTCTTTCCCTAGTTTTTCTAGCAGTCTTTTGCTGGAGTTTTAGTTTTTCGTTCATAATTCATATTAGTTTGATGAGTGAACATATACGTAGTGATCAACTACTATTGTGTGCTTATTGCAAGTTCAACACAAGCTAATTAGTCAACAGAGATTGGAATGGACGACCGGACAAACAAGATTGTTTAGACCCGATGGGACTATTCGAATTATAAAGCTATGACACAATCAAACCCAAACAAACAAAATGTCTATAGCTTTTTATGAAACTTGGATTAGTTGAAATTTAGGCCTAAAATAAAGAAGATTCTGAACCTTTTTTTTTTTTTTTACAAAAAAACTTTTAGGTCTCTTTCTTGGGCAGGGCATCAAGTAGACTGGTCATAGGTTCAAATCCTGCTTGGGGTTTTGACTTTGATTTCGATAAACTAACTACTTGGAATGGATGACTAGACCAGAGATCAAAGTGCTTGCGAAAAGCAGATTGGGTGATAAGCAGATTAAGAGTCTGGAGACTCGAGTGAAGTGTTTGGCTATGGTCTGCGTCAGCAAGTAACTAGGATTTTTAACGTTTGGGAACAGTGAACTAAGTTAATAACCGTTTTCTTATATAGTGGATTTGATGTGACCTATGTTACATGGACTTGGGCACGGGTGTCGGACACGGGTATGTATCCATGCGTCGGACATGTCAAATCTCCAAACAGAAGGACACACGGACACAACTCAATATTCATTTTATTAATTATTTTATTTTATTTTTTAGAGAAAAGTAATGTTTTTATCTAATATAATGTTCAATATAGGCATTTAACTCATTTTAAAGTAATAATATAATGTAATTGAATGATTGGATATGCTTTTTAAGTACATGTCCAACCAAAAGTGTCAGACACATCCCATAGCCATGTCCGAGGGATATGTGTCCGACACGGGTACTTCACTACTTTTGAAGAGTCCATGTAACAGAGGATGTGCCTAGTTCAGGTCCCATGGTTTTTCCCCTAGGGTTTCCACTTAAAAATCTCTATGTCCATTGTGATTTTATTTGTTGCTATTACATTGCATGTTTGATTGGTTAAATGCCTGATTGCATCATGGATTAAGTATTGTTTTCATTATTGCTGTTATTTTGATTTCGAACAGTTGATAATCAAGTTGAAATCCAAAATTTTGTTTAAGTTAGATAATTTAGTTATCAAGACCTATTCACCCCTGCTAGGTCTAGATCACAGACCTTGCACAACTCTATATCAGAGCCTAGGGTTACAGTCCTATACTTCTCAATTGGAATTAGAGCCATCATCATCCTTGCCTTTATCCCACATGAATGGGGAATTGGTATCAGAGCCACGTTGCTCAAATTTAGTGAGTTGATCACGGGCAGCCTTAAGGAGAGTTGTTCCATATCTAGGCCCTTATTGTTTGAAGGGTCAAAGTACAGTTATTCAAAAGGTAGGATGAGGACTTTTCTCAAGGACAACAATAGAATTGGATAGGAGAATCCACTATAGGTCATAGAATGATGATATGCACCTAAACCTAGCAAGGAATGGTCTGTATATGAAATTGTTGAAGTTAATTATAACTCAAGGGCATACAAGATGCTACTTTTCGACCAGCATGACAAAAGAAATGCAAATTAGCACTGCAGTACCAACTTATAGAACACTTGACAATAAAACTGAAAACAAAAGTCAAATTTAAAACTAGGTGCTAATGAAGTGTATAAAACAAAAGATATAACTTTGTTTACCTTATCTGAAGCATAGTTCTTTCCAATAGCTGTATCTTGCAAAATGCGGGCTGCAACCTGAAATTTGAACATTGCATTACAGGACAAATAAACTTCTACTAAAACTGGGACACCAATTGAAGATGACAGGAAAACACATGGCAAGCATCAAGAACAAAGAAACTCACAACTTAATAATACAACATGAAGATGATAGTGACTACAGAAACATGTCTTTCTGTTGGAGATGGATGAAGGGGAGACTCATTCAAGTTATACACGAAAAGCTAAGCATTGAAAACTTTAGTGCATAATTAGCAGTACTAAAGATACTAAGTTGCTGAAATGATGTTGAGGGTAATTGGGTTTTGGTCGGTGATAACTTAAAAACTCAAGTCTCCTTGGCTGAAAACTCGGAACCTATTCAGGTGAGAATTATTTTTGAAGTTGTACATAATCAATGGACAAACCATTGACAATTTCCAATTATCAGAGCTTAATTTATCAAACAACTTCTGAGATGTAATGGGTGCTCAATGAAAGAATTGAAAGAATTGCCTTGGGTTCTCTACAGTTTTTGTGTCATTTTAACCATTAAAATTCCAAGATCAGAAAAATATAACTTCATGGAAATAAAAGAAAGAAATGTTTAACAATGAAAGTGAAGAAGGAAATACCTCACCACCGTTAATGCCTCCCTCATAGCATGGTTTCAAACTAACTGCACGTTCAAGATAAGGCTTCCAGTGCCCAGTGAGTAAATCCCTCCTAATCATCTCAACGCCACCTTGATAGTACTGTTTAAAAAAACTTATATTACAAGAAGAAGAGGAAGAAGAAGAAGAAGAAGAGCATACAATTGTACCTCAAGCATATTTCTCAAAAATGGTTCTTCATTGAAGTAATCTCTGCGTACAAAAACAAAAGGTAACTTGTATGCCAAGGCTTCACTGACAGTGCCATATCCAATTTTTCCTGAATTAATGAGCAAATAATGAGGCTGCTATTAGAATCCGCTTTCAGTCCATTAATCATTTCAGCTACAAATAGTCTCTTACTTACCAAGCATACAGTCAGATGCTGCCATAACATCAGGAGTATAAACATCTTTTGCAAGCCTTAAGAAATTTGGAGGAAGCTCCTGGTTTGTAGATGCACCACAAACCTGAAAATATAGATATAAGCACTTCAAACCATACAATGATGCCAAATACATGGCCATATATTACAGAGGAACACAATGTAGAAGATATGCCACAAAGGTTACCAAGCAGAGCCAACCAGAAGGTAAGTACTCTTCCTTTAACTTCCAACCTGACGGCTGCAAATGGTGGAAGCAGTATTAAAATTACTATTAGAAGTAGTTCAGATGATTGGTACCTGAGTAGACTATACAAGAAGTTGCGTGTATGTGCATTAACATGACATAATTTAAAGTCACTGGAAACAGAGAAATAAAACAGACCAGAACATACGTTGTGTAGTACAGTAACATCGAATTATCTTCAAAATCAAATGGGTTCCAACATATGACATGGTGTAGAATCTGACAACAAACTGAAGAATATATATATATATATATAGAGAGAGAGAGAGAGAGAGATATAGATATAGATATATTTGCCTCAGATACTTCAAAATATGTTGATAATCAAGTGCTGCCTATTAATATGGAACATAAGTGGGAAAAAGTGACAATGACCATGTTGTCACACATATCTTTCAAAAGTAGAGCTCCACTATGTTATCCAGAATGAAGAACATGACCATCATAGAAGAAGGTGCTATGGCTCAGCTTTGACGAGCCTAGGCTTTTGGGGTGCCTGGGCACACCTTCAACAACTATAACCATTTACATTCAAATGAAGAACAAAAGACTAAAGGTAAAAGTATACCTAGGTTCAGATGTCCAGGATGTGTAGAGATGGCTAAAATATCATGTCACTGATATGCCATTTTAAAACCAATAATTAATAACTGAACCACAATTGCTGCTAAAATGCTGTACCAACCTATTATAACTAAAGGCAGGTGAATATTAGCACTACCACTCAGCGATCAAATTAAGTTCCTCACCACGACTCAGGTGCGAATGCTAGGCAATAACTTGGGGCAAATGGCAAACTAATTCTGAACGAACAGGCTGTGAACTACTACTTGCTATAGCAAGACTTTTGATCCATGAGAACTAATAGCATGTACCATTCAATAACTAGTTTATTCACTCATAGCAGTTACTTTATAATTTATACTGAACTCAAATTAAGTGCCAGCATGCAGCACTGGTAATATATCCTGCAATAGGTGTTGTTAAAACAAATAACACAACTTATCTAACTGATAACTTTATTTATTTATAACTTTAGTTAAGGTGTCTGAAGCATGCAGTTACAAGGCACAGGTCAACACGTGCACAGGTGCACACGAGAGAGAGAGAGAGAAATCACCATAAATTCCAAATGTTTGACTGTTTAACTGAAATTTTTCAAATAAGATGAAACCAAAATGACTATAATGTCAGTCACATATAATGATAATGTGATCAATCAGTAATTCACCTGTCCCCCAAAATTTAGTATAACAACCTTCACATCATCCCCAATCTTGAGATTCTTCCTCACCTGGAAGGGAAGATAACGAAATAAATTATACTTTTACAGAAAGTACATCTTGAATTAACACTCCCATGGAAGAACTGAATTAAATGAAATCACAAACCTCCTTGCGAGATTTGTGCAACCTCCTTACAACTAAAGGTACATCAATCACATCTCGAAAAGCAGGCACTGGAATGTTAAGGGTGCATTTCAACAAGCAAGAAAAACAACAGGAAGACATCACTAATGATCTTCAACACTAAGAGTAGATGTGAAAGTAAGAAACTCAAGGAATTGTACTAGAGCAACATACTTGGGCAGTATCCTGGGAGACGGATTAGGAACTCACAGTGAGAATAATCCTCTGCTATCTGAATCAATAGTCAAAGGACAAATTTTGCTAGCATAGTTAGAAATCATTAACGGTGAGAAATGCCAAAAGACATAATGTTTTAATTTCCATGAGACTGAGGATTTTAAGGGATGGCAACTAAAAAGAGAAACCGACAAACTGTGAAAGCCCTTCCAAGGACTATATAACTAAAAAGAGAAACTGACAACCTAAAGAACCAGGTACATACAACGATCATAACATTAAGCAAATAAGGTCACCTGCCAAACTATTGACCTGTGATGAATACCGGCTGCCATCACATACTCTGCATAGATGAAGTCCCAACTGCACAATATATATATATATATATATATATATATGAAAATAAATAGATGAATAATGAAAGGTTAAGGGAGATTTGTTAGAAACTTGTGTGTTCATTTTATTTATCAAGACAAGATGACTGGTAAATAATACTAATTTGTCAAACTTAAATACCAGCAATATTAATATTTCATTCGCACTTAAATTGATAAAATGAATAAGGGCTGAAATGAGTTGGGATCGTCATCGTGATCTTAAAAATGGGGCCAACTGCATGAATTCTCCTTAAGCTATTTCTCCTAATATATTTATTTTTTTAAAAGTCATTTATAATTATTCCACGTTTGCCTCTTATATTATGTTCAAACTAATCTTTACTTTCTTATTGGTGCATCTACAGGTCTACGTTGTACATGTCTATATCACCTAGGTCTGATTTATCTTATCATTAATAAGCGCCAGTCCTAATTTTTCCCTCACACATTGAATCTAGTCACACACTTAGCATTCATCTCAACATTCCCATTCCAGTTACATGAATGCATTGTTCTTATTTCAGGTACAAATACAACTTGAAGAGTTTGAAAACACTTTTGATATAAGAACCCAATATATTGTAGCGACCATCCCCGTATTAAGTATTTAAGTAATATATTTCATAAATTTAAATATGATAATGATAGTTTGTAATTTACTGGGATTAATTGTACATTAAAAAGTTAAGCATTACATACTTTATCAGATTACAGATAAGTAGAGTTTCTAAACTGAAAAGGCTGACTTGGTCTACAACTTGGAAAAGGTTCTCTAATCAATATTAAAAAAAATATCTTACAGTTTATATATGAAAATTGGAGAAACAAAGAGTTGTAGAAGAGAAATACAAGAGTTGAATAAGAGTCATACATTGAGCTTTAGTCATATATAAACCTATTGAGTGTTTGAAAGCCTAGAATGTGTGCATTGATCATTGTTTTTTAGTGCTGAAATTGAAGATTCTGAAGAACACCAACAGGGGTTGATCCATACTTCGTACTTGTGTGTGAAGACTCTTAGTGACAGTCACTATATAGAGAAGGTAAATCTCAAGAAGTGTTGCGTTGATGTAAGCAACAACTAGACCTTTGAGGTGAGTGCTTGAGGATCAAGATGAAACGTGGTGACGTGGAATCACTAGTAGGACTTTCAGTCCTTTCTTCTCCTTTTTGCTGAGTTAATCATCGAAGTGCCTTTACAGATAACACATTGATGCTAACCTCCTGATTCTTGAAGGAACATAACCCACAACAAGGAGAGGGTGAGCCTTGGCGCACCGGTAAGGTTGCTCCATTGACCTAGAGGTCACGGGTTCGAAATACGGAAGCACCCTCTCCGCACGCGAAGGTTAGGCTATGTACATCTAACCCTCCCCAAACCCTGTAATGGCGGGAGGTTCATGCACTGGGTTTGCCCTTTGCCCTTTTGGATTAGCAAAGGACTATGAGTAATAATAATACTATATTATTTTCCTCATTTTTGTAAATCTGAGACACTTACTCCTTCCCATTCGGGACTTTAACTCTTCATTCACCCTTTTTGATGTAACAGGACCACTCAACCCAAGAGCTAATGGTACAATACCAACATTTGACGCCAATATTGGAACAAACTATAAAGTCCAACAAGATTATAGATCAGAAAGTAAGAAGATGGTCTAAAAATTTGCTACTTTATTAGCGTTTTTATGAGAGCTACACCTCAAATGGGAATGGGAAAGAAAAAAAAAAAAAAAAAGAGCAAAGATTTGAAAAAAAAAAAAAAAATCAAAGAAACAAACTAGATTGAGTGATAATAATGACAAGGGAAAGTTACCTGAAGTTGGTGACACAAACAGAACGAATTCCTGCATCAGCTGCTGCCCTGCATGCAACTGGAACAACATCTGAAACCTGTTTCCATAAAAGTACTTATTAACATTACCTGGGAGTTGAAGACCAGCCAGTTCGGGCCAGCTCGAGCAGGCCCATTTTGAACAGAAATGGGAGCCTCCGTCAAGAACCAATTGGTTACTTACCGAACCGGCTGGTTCGGATGTGAATTTGGGACTCACTGATAAACTTGTGAGTCTTGGTAAAGGTGGGTAGAAATTCAGTAGCAAACCAGCCAGTTCGGCAAACCATGCCTGAGACCTTTTCTCATGGGAAGACAATGTCAACATACCTCCAAGTTCACAACCGGTTCTACTTCAGCAGGAAATTACAAACTAACAGCAGATATAATATTTGCTTATTTGTTGTATTATTCTTTTCCACTGCCTGTTAAATAATCAGAAGATAGGTCCCAATTTAATATAAATAAGCATTTAATTACCACTAAATCAGCCTTGATGGAGTTCAGCCACTCTACTTCCATTGCCAAAATAGAAGCCCGGGGTGCTACAGCTGTCTCTGAATACTAGTTTAAACAAACAAATATTTGAAACAAAGAATTAGTAAAACAAACATGCAAGGAAAAAGATTATGCCAAACAGGAATAAATGAGCAAGAAACTACGATTATTCTCTACATTTACTGACATACAGTTAGATGCAAAGATGCCAAGTTCATTCTATCTGTCAAAGTCATAAGGTAATCAACAAATAACTAATAGTTGTATGTATTTCTTTGGCCTGGCAAGATTTGAACCATGGACACATCTCTCCCAACCTCACCCCATCCTTTTACCACCTCCAAGGCCAAAGGGCATGACAGTTTATGGTAGTTTTTATACAAGTTCAGCAATTAACCATACCTTCTCCAAAGACGCAAGGCGATCCACTGTCAAAGCATCTGCTTGAACCGCTCCACAGTCTAGTAGTACCTATAGTCCACAAATTATATAATGGAAAGGCAAACAGACACAATCTCCGACTAACGGTTACTAATTTTTTAAAAATAACACTGAAACTACAAAAGAGCAATTGACTTTTCTAATAAAGACAAAAAATAGAGATCGATATATTTAGTTAAGATTTGAACTATGCACAGAGCAATCTCTGTTTGTTGAATCATACTTGATTACTTGTAGTGGTTTGAGAGATAATTAGAAGTATGATCACAGACACGTGTTAATCAATTATACCAGCAGTGGAGCTTCCTAAACATACATCATTTTAAAAATGAACAGACCTTGCGGAGGAAAAGCCGAGGAGACTGTATTTCAGTTGTAAAGACGAAGTCAGGTGCACCAGTGACCACATGAACATCATGCCCAGCAACAATGAGGTGCCGAACAACCTAAGCAGCAACACATGAAGTCAAGAGCTCAGCTGATGAATACAGTAAACAATAAGTAACATATCAGAATATCAAACCAAACTTAAAAACAGAGCATTGTTGGGCCATCATATTAGCCAATCAATTTACTGTTATACTTGAGCACCGCTTGGTTCCGAGAAAATTGAATAAAATAAACAGGAAAAAAAATATGGGGATTAAATTTTCTTCTTCTCTTGTTTTCGATCTGTTTCTCAGAAACTAAAGGGATGCTAGTGCCATCTGTCATCATAATTGAATAGTCCGACTATAATGCACAGACTAAGATTCAAAACAGGAGAGAAATAAGGCAATTTAGAAACAAATAAGCAATTTAGAAATAAGGCAATTTAAGTTTGTCACATAATTGTCCGCGTAATGGTCATCAGAAACAAATTTATTCGTCCACATTATGATCATAAAAATAATAATAATAAAGGTACTAAGGTTAAGAAGAGAGACTGTGAGTGTCGAACAACCTAAGCAGCAACACAAGAAGTTAAGAGCTCAGCTGATGAATACACTACACAATAAGTGACATATTCCAGTACCAAACCAAACTTAGAAATGGAGCATTGTTGACCCATCATATTAGCCAATCAGTTTACTATTATACTTGGGCACTGCTTGGTTGCCAAGAAAATTGATGAAAATAAACGGGAAAAAAAATATAGGCATTAGATTTTCTTCTTTTGTTCTCGATTTGTTCCTCAGTAATTAAAGAGATGCTAGTGCCGTCTGTCATAGTAATTGTATTAGTCCGATTTTTATGCACAGAATAAGATACAAAACAGGAGAGAACTAAGGCAATTTAGAAACAAACAAGCAACTGATTTTTTCTGGGTCATAAGTCAATTTAAGTTTGTCACATAATCGTCCACATTGTGATCATCAGAAACAAATTTAAAGCTACCAATTAAGTTTGGTAGACAGAAACCCCACCCCCATCCCCAAAAAAAAAAAAAAGAAGAACAATTTAATTTCTTTGGTTCCCAGATCACTTTCAGTTCATCATATAATTGTCCACATGATCATCAGAAACAAATTCTAAAGCTATTTGGTTTAAGTAAATAATTACAAGAAAGTCTAAAGTAAACTAAGACCAATTTGATTATAATTACCGGAAAAGGAAAAGAAAAAAACAATTTGATTTCTCTGGGTCATAAGTTACTTTCAGTTCATCACATAATTGTCCACATTATGATCATCGGAACAAATTTTAAAGCAATTTGGTATAAGTAGAGTTCAAAAAATAATCTAAAGTCAATTAAAACCAATTTGATGAAGAACATCAAGGAAATGATAGACACAGAAGAGAGTTTTAGAGAGAGAAAGTAGAATGATGGACCTCAACAACACGAGTGGCATGGCCGAAGCCATGACCAGTGACATAGTAAGCAAAAACGAGATGGTTTCTTGATTCAGAGACTTGATCACCCTGGTCTTCGATCCTCATTCTCTTCTCTCTCTCTCTAACCTCTGGTTTACTTTCTCTCTCTAAAAAATTTGTTATGGCAAGAGAGAGAGAGAGAGAGAGAGAGAGAGGGTTGGAGGGGGGAAAACGAAAGGTTTGTTCCGACTCACCGCTGATGTCAGTTGAGCGTGTCACCCTTATCTTGTTTGTTTGTTGCGTCGTATCTGAGAATTGGGTCCTCCTCATTTGAGAGTTATTTGTCAAGAAAAAGGAAGAAAATTAAGTCCAATTGGTTTCTGGGGTCCGTTTAATTTGAACCAAAAATGTTTTAGAATTAATAGTTTTTTATTTTTTATTTTGGTGGATAGTAGATAAGGTGGGAAAGAAAAAGAGGATGAAAGAGAGAAAAGAAAATAAATAATATTTTTTTATAAATTTTAAATTATAATATTACTCTTTGTAATTATTAGATAAATTTGATATTAACAATTTCTATTTCTCTTTCTCTTAAACAAACAAAATATGGTGTTACCTCCACCGCTCTGTCCCTTTTTCTCCCATCCTATCAACCCAAAAAGATAGGAGTAGTGATACTTACACCGAACACTTATAGTGAATTGTCTAATCTAATAAATTTTAATTGATTATTCATACCAAATACAACTAAGGGACTCTACTTCCTTATTTGTTGCATAATTAATAAATTAAAAAAGTAAGTCTAATAATTCACTGTAATTATTTGGTGCAAAAATTATTTTTTAAAAAATAAATGATACTATCATTTCTCTATAAATGTATCATCCATCAAATTATTCTCTCCCTTCCATCTAATTTACTTAATTCTGATTTACTTCATTCCTGCCCAATGTCATGTTATTCCTAATACTAGTGTGGAGCATTGTTGGGCCCACATATTAGTGAATCAGTTGCCGGGACAATTACCGAGGTGTAAGTGTTACTCCCTACCACTAATGTGGTCCAATTACAAATGTCATGTTATCTTTAATTACAAAATAAGAAAATAATAAATAAGAAAAGTAATTAATATAAAAAATAAGGACAATTATGTATTCATTATTTTCCTATTTATGACTCGATACTTTTTGAATTTTTTTATTGAGTCAAATGTCATGTTATCTTTAATTACAAAATAAGAAAACAGTTAATACAAAAAATAAGGACAATTATGTATTCATTATTTTTTTTATTTATTAGTATTTTTTTAATTTTGTAATTAGATAACATCAGCTGTCAAGATAGGTAATTATTGTCCTTTACGCAATTGTGATGAGTTTGAAGCATGACCTCAGCCTTTTCTCTTGGCCTATAATTTCTCGTGTCTGCAGACAAGGCAATAGAGTGACTCATGCTCTTGCTTTACTCTTATCTTCGGCTATGCAAGCTGATGATGTTCTCTTTCAACTTTCAACTTCATCCTGAAGTGTTTCAGGTAGCAATGCTTGATTGTTCTCAAGCCTGTTGTTGTTAGTGCTTCCTTTGTTTGTTCGAAAAAAAAAATGTAATGAGTTCAAATTCTTCACGGCCTAGGATTTTTCAATATAATTAAATATTTTTGTAACATACATTGATAACATAATATATGTATTAGAAATAAATATAAATGTGTTAAAAATAATTAATGTGTTAACAAAACTATAGCACTACTGCACACTATTTGGGCACTTGATTTGATGGTCATGTCAATTGCACTTGTCCAGTAGCCCGCATCTTCATCTAATTAGAACGTGTGAGGTTGGGTTGGAAAAGTAAAAGGTCATTATTAGCTGTAGTTGTTGACGTTAATGTGATAACAGAATCCATTATGACAATGAATCTTTTTTTATATTACATAAGCCTTAGAATGCAACAATACACACTCCACAATAAGGTTGGAAAATAAAATTTATACGCCATTTTTTAGTGGTAGTTTGTTCATTCCAATTATTAGAAATTTCAAGTGTGAATCAACTTTCCTTTTAATTATACATATATTTTTCTTGGTGGTCCTACATAAATTCCAATTATTCCCTGATTGATCATTAAGACCCAGTCCCCGAATCTTTTCAAAATCTTATTTATGGCTTCCAAAATATATTTATAAATGAACCTAATTCATTGGACATTCCAATTTGCCCCCATTTTTCATAGAAAATTTTAACTTTGACCCTTATAACTACTTTTGAAAGTATATAATATATGATATATGAATTTAAGAGAAAATTACACTAATATCGTATCATGTTTATAAAAAAATAAATCTAAAATAAATCTAGCGAACAGACGAAGTATTCTGTAATATATGTTCGATTGATTAAAAATTAAAAATAATTAAGAAAAATAGATTAAACTCGGGAAAGCTCCATTATGCAACTTTTATGTACCAATATGTGACCCGCTGGTAAGCCAAATTGTTTACAAGTTTTAATAGATGGTGGCTTAACTTTTATAACTTAAAATTGAAACGAATCACACATTGAAAAGCATATCAAAGTCTATTTCATGACATATAAGAACAACCATTAGATGCTAAGCATAAAGATGTTATGAGTGTGTTTCAGAGACATGCAAGGACAACAATTTACATGCTAAGCATCAAGATTTCATGACTCCATAAAGATAAATAGGTCAACATTTGACAGCTTTTGATTCCTCGTATCAGTATCAATTCCACGCATATTCTTCTTCTTTTTTCGTTTTTTTAAGAACAATGTTATTCAAGATCACTAAACTAGCCAAAATGGCCAGTTGAGTCCTGGAGCCACTTGATATATTCTCCCACTAGATCATTCAGGCCTGAGGTTGATGACCGCAATCGGTCAACAGCACAGCATCACATTCTGTTCGAATCGATTGTAACAGTAATTCAGACATAAAAAGACCCTGAATGATGGATACCGCAAACAGCGAGAAATTTAAAGCCATGAGAACAAAGATGAGAAAAAATGGAAGCTCATATGAACAAAAACATCCTTGTACAGAAGCCGCCCTCCAATATGTACACTAACTAAACAGGTAAAGTCCAACCAAGCAAGTTTATCACCCAAGAAATAGGATGAAACGTATAATTTAATTTATCACTGCGAAAACAAGCTCAATTTTTACCAATCTGTGGCCAAGTGACAGAAGTAGATGATGCATTTCGAAGGAGCTGTGGCAGCAAAAAATGTTGCTGCTGTTGCTGTTGCTGCCAGAGATTCAACCATTCACCTCCCCCCATCAATCCACCAAAGCCGAACGCTTGCCTGCCACTATCAGCAACAATGGTGTCTTCTTCCATCATATCGACTTCCTCTTCAGCTTCTGTTGGCCCTGCTTGAGCTATAACTGGTTCCTCAAATCCAGAGGATGGTGGAAACTGACTTGCAACCCAGGGAACAACAGCCAAGTAGTCTTTTATTATATCTTTTTTTTCTGCAGTGCCAGTAGCTGCTTCTTCCTCTTTTCTCGTTGCTGGGTTCAACTTGCCAGGCAGAAAGACCAGATCTACATGAAAATAAATTTAAAAATTAAAAATTAAAAAAAAAAAAAAAAATACTCTTTGATCTGAATTCCAGATAACAGAAGTCTGGCGTGCAATTAACAATTCAGGAAAAAAATAGGAATTGTAAATGATCAGAACAATGACATAGATTATTTTTTTCATTGTTTCGCTTCTTGTATCTTTATTATTATTTCTGAGATCACAAGAAAGTAAGACTGAAAGATAAAAAAAACAAAATGAACTGAGATGTCATGCAAAACATCAATTTGAGACAGATCCAAGTTGTAAGGCTAAACTGCAAGATTGGGGGCTTTGCTAGTCAGGATAAGTACCAGGTGCATAATGCAGAAGGACCAAAAGACGGAGAGAGAGAGAGAGAGAGAGAGAGAAACTTGACAGGTGCTAGGACTCATTTCAAGTTGTGAACAAAGTACCTACCAAACTGGTAAATTGAGTTACGGCAATGATTGTTCCAGAAGAATGGATGTGATTGAAGATTGAAGATGGGCTTTTAAAGTGCTTCACATCTTCTATTATTCAACTAGATGGTGACACAGTAAACAATAATAATTTACTTAGAAAGCAAGTATAACTAGGATGGCAAATGGATAGATGGATCTATAAAAGATCAAACAGACCAATATAATATATAAATGAACTTTTTAAGTTGTTATTGCGTGTTTGGTCATGAACATTAGCATCTAACTAATAAATGAAGGGCAGCTGGTCAAAATATATCACATTACTCAGTAGACACCCAATTGATTGAGATTAGGTCCAATTCATCAAGCTTGCCTTTAGGTTTCTCGAAAATATTATATCTTTTTCTTTGTCTTTTCTACAGACACCTACAAAAGTGTTAGTTTTTGTGTGTGAATTCATATCATTCATGAAACTGCGCTTTACACGAAGTCAAAGAGCAACAAAATATCATAACTCTTTCACCGACGACGGATCAGTTGGTTGACCGAGTTGACGGATAGAGACAATCAAACTTGAGGGAGCAGGCATGAGTCTGAGGTGCACAACAACTAGGCTCTTAAGAGCGAGCAGGAACCAAGTTTGAGGCTGAAGCAGTGGCAGTCATGTGTCTAGTAAAATCATGGGGAGTAAGACTGCGTCTACTGGTTTGTACTTCTTCAAAGTCGAGCATTCGATAGCTTGAGAGGGGAGTCTCCATGGTTTTTCCTTGTCTAGGGTATTCAATGTAGAAAGTCTGTCTCTTTATATTTCTCTTTACCTAGTTTTTTTAACTGTTCGACTTCATTCTATTAGGGTAATCAGAATTTAAAATTGGTTAAAAGAACAAATGCAAGGTTCGTTTTGATATAAGTGAATCCCATGGCTTTCTTCAAATTTTTTAACTTAATTTGCCATTACATAAGAAGAATAAGGAAACAGCACCAAAAACATCAAAAGTTGAGGAATTGCCTTGCTCTCTTCAATTTTTTTAACTTAATTCATCATAACATAAGAAAATTAAGGTAATAGCTCTGAAAACATCAAAAGTTGAGTCTAATTCATCTAATGAGAAAAATTTTCCTGGTGATGAAGGTTAACTTAATTCACTGGTAAGTTCAATAAATCCCCAAGGATTGTAAAATAATAGAAGTTCAAGAAAGGAAGTTCTTTTATGATCTGTTTGGTTGGAAGGAAGGAAGGAAGGATTGAGGAGGGATAGGAGAGGCTTCCCTTGTTTGGTTGAAGGGAAGGGAAGAGAGAAGCATCCCTCCTAACCGCTGATTTTTTATCTGCACAAAATTGGGTGGAATAGAGGTAAATAATTAAAAATTAAACAACAATTATGAAATACCTATTTTAACCTTCATCTATTTATAAAAGGACATATTTTAGCCCTACCTTGTGAGTTTTGCCCAAGTTACCGAAGCAAATCCGAGAACTGCGTTAACCCTAATTCAAGCTGCATTGACAATAGAGCCTTGAAAAGCAACTGCTAAATTTATACTTGATCCATTCGTTGATTAGTAGTATATGTGTCTTGGCTAGAAGTCATGGACTCATGGTTAAGCATGATCAGTCACCAGTCAATGCGCATGACTGATCAACTTAATGTTAGATTATTGGTAAAAGTATATATAAACTCTCCTCTCCTTCCTTCCAACCAAACAAAAAAAATTTGTCACTCCAATCCTTTCTACTATCCCTTCCATTCAACCGAACAAAAAGTGAGGGAGACACTTTCCCTTGCCTAGGGATGCCTCATCCATCCCTCCCCCTCTCCCTTCAATCTATTTTTCCATCCCTCTAACCAAATGGAACATTAGAGAAAAAGATGTGTCATATAATGGTCTGTGAAAGATTAAAAAGATAGCAAGAACAACGATCAACCTGATGTAGGATGCTGAACTGTCATGAGTTAAGTTTTTGCTAGTGAGTGTCCTAGAAAGAAAAGAACCACAGGAGGAAAAGCAAAAGCACACTATAGAGTGTAATGGAACTTTATCCAACGTATGATGCAGCAGCTTGGTTTCGCAGAAAAATGGATAAAGATGGTCATGACCTGTAGTTTCACTGGAATTAATTACATGCATTCCTGCTATTGCATTTCCTTCTACACTTATAGGATCTTCCAAATTCGCTGACAATGTTTCTATTCTTTAATACACTGTAACTGACACTGAGACACATTAAAGAATAGTAGAGGAAGATGAGAATATTCTTCCAGTTGCTTTTGATGAGTTTATTTTGTTTTCTTTTTAAAAATAAAATACAAAAAATAAGTTGAAGAAAGCTAACCAAAAAAAAAAACTTAAAGTTCAATCTGTGATATTAAGAGAGATTTTGTTTTTTTTTTGTTTGTTTGTGGTTTTTTTTTTTTTTTTTTTTTTTAAGTAAGATTTCATTAAAGGCGGTCAAAAGGGGAGTGCTCCTAAAGGAAACAAAAGGTCAAAAGCAGTCCACAACGACACAATAACTTTAAGCTATCCACAAAATCCAAAAGAAGATCCATAGAATTACAATTCTGCCCATTAACCCAAAAAAATAAAGAAGAGATATCTTCAAGTCAGAAGCGTCCAATAATCTGGCTCTAGCAACTTAACTTCAAGATGAAAAAAAATCTTTAATTGAGAAAAGGTAAATTTTGAACTTGAGGCAAGTCAAATGATTAATTTTAAAAATAACACTTGAAGAATAAGGTAGCAAATTGTGTCAACAAAATCTAAAATGACCATTCAAAATTTCACCAAGAGAACTGAAAAGTTATATAACTTCTTGATATTTTAAAATAAGCAGGAGATAAGAGACCTGAAATACACATATTTTCCTCTCTTCACTCTCCCTATAGTATAAAATTTGTTTGAGTTAGGAAATCTCCTACTGTTGTTTATCTTCTGCTTATCTTGTACATGCTTCTACAGTGGAGAGAAAGATTATTCAGAACTCCAAAGTTAATTGAGGAATGAGTACCTTAATGGTAAAAGTTCTCATACTTTGAGAAATAAAGGGGCTACAGAATTTCATTTCAGAAACGTAAAAAATATACAATTAACTCAAATTGGAATCAAGACTCGTTTACAAAAAAAAAAACCAAGGCTTTGATAGAGGGATAGCGAAACGTTCGCGATCTTGACCTAAAGAGGGGAGTGAATAGGTATTGGTGGTAGTTTTAGCACCTTTTTGAAATTCAACTAACTTACCAAAAATTCAAATTTTAAAAAAAATATATTTAAATATCAAATAACAATAAAGCTATCATGCCTATTATAAGAACCATTCAATCAAAAACAAATTAAAGCATAATAAAGAGCAAAATGGACAGCAAGACTTTTGTGTGAAAAACCTAAATGGGAAAAGCATGGGACTTAGTCCAATTATATCAAAATCCACTATCAGAAAGATATTATGACACGTTAACAATTCAATAACCCCGTAACCCCTAGTTACCTCTTGACATAGACTGATCCTCAAACCCACACAGAGATTCTCCAAGCACACAGTCTGCTTCTTCAACTGTAATCCTGATCTCCAAACTAGTTGTTCACTCCAATCTTGGTTGTTTGATTGCTTATTGGTGTTGAACTTCTTCAAATTAGGTCCACAATAGTTCAAAGTCAATACACATACATCACACTAACCAATCTCATGTGTGATGATTGATGAATGCTTAAAGGAAAAATATATATATTCACTTAATGATGCTTAAAATCTCTCTAGCATATATGTCTATGCGTACCTTAAGGTTTGTGCCATATTGGAGTATATTTATAGACAAACAAAGAGTTGTAGAGGGAATAGGATTTTAGGGTTCTAATTTGAAAAGGATATTGGCTTTTCCAATTCCTTGAACGGCTCGATCGATTAAAGAACATGCGATAGATTGACATGAATCCAGTAGCCTTCGATTGGTCCGTCGGTCAATCGAAGTGCTCTTTAATTCTATGCTTAGAAAATCTTCAAGCAAGGTAGTTTCCAAAAACACTTTTATCAACTCACCTAGGATTTCCCAAATCAAAAGATGACACCTACAAACCCTAATGCATGACCCCTAATTTTTTGGTGAGTGCATATAGAAGTGTCAATTACCTTTGTACCCATATGTAGAAGATTACATTTTTGCCCATCGTTGAACCTTAAATTCAAACTTTGACCTTGTCTAAGATGTAACTAACATGACACTTACTTTTATAAGTCTAACTAAAATAAAATAAAAACAAAAATACAAGCTCTAGTTTTGAACCACAAAAAATACAAAATATGTCTACCAAAATCCCATTGACCTAAAAGGAATTAGGAAGTATTCCAGTGATTCTTGGGAATGCTTAAGTTCGAAATTAATATGATTTCATTTTAGAAACCCAAGTCATTGTGCTGACAATATAGTGTACTCTTGACCATTTGAGGTTCAGCAGGACCGAAAAGTTGCATTATAAACTTGACCAACTGAACCCAATTAACTTGAAACCTTAATTTATTCCCTTAACTGCTCCCCGTAGCTTATCTATTGCATCCATGGTAATTGACATTAGAATTTCTCATGATTCAAGATACAATAATTTTGCTTTAGTAGTTCTATTATTTATATCACACAATGGGCTTATAATTTTTTCATATTAAAATAAGTAAAAATACATTTTTAATGCATATAATAAGGTTATGTGTGTGTGTGTGTGTGTGTGTGTGTGTTGAGACTAGTAAAAACTTACCGGCAGGGAAACATAGAACGATATTTAGACAACATTATCTTTAATATGCAAGCCGTTTATTTTGTTTAAACATCAATTCATCATCAGAAATTCCCTCGCTGAGAAACAAAATGAAAGGGAGAATACAACATACTTAACTGATCGTTAACTTTATCATTGTGGAACAAATACTACTAAGTCTACAATTGCGGAACAAAGGTGATTTTGTCTTCTTTTTTTTTTTTCTTTTTTTTTTTTTGGCATACTATTAAAACACATAATCAAGTGCAAGAAGAACAAGTATTAAATTAAATTGCGAGGTTCAAATTCATATATGAACAAATTAAAGCAGAACAATCAAAATGCATGGCCATTTACAATTATGTATCAAAACCACAACAGGGAATTCACTACTTACTCTTTAAGCCAGGTACCAATTCGGAATTCAGAACAAACAAAAAATCCGAAGAACTGGGAGATTTAATTAACGGCGTGTTCGCAGGTTTATAGAGGACAATTGCCCTGTCGTCCACAACCGGAGTTTCTTCTTCTACCATTCTAGAGCTTGTGGAGGCTTGTTCTGTTGAAACCAACCCTTGATCATATAACATAGAAGCCCTAGCATTTTCTTCCTCTCCTACATTCATATATAAGTTGCCATCCTTGAATTGCCCAGTCTGCCCAGAGAAGAGGGTATAGTATATTAGAAACTTGCAGAACGGGGTATTGTAAATTGCTTCTAAAATTTAATGGAAAATTACAACAAGTGCATACATGTATAATTCGTGTATATATAAATATATAGATAGAGATTGTATGTATAATACGTGTATATAAATATGTATAGAGAGAGTGTGTTGGGACATACCAATCTTCTGAGTTTTGAGTAGCAAGAAGAGAGGGAAATATCTATGAAATCATTGTACAATGACGTATCGTCAAGATCCTTCCGCTTCATGTTGAATGCATGAATCAGTATAATCTCAATCGTTAGGGTTTCGGGACAGGACTTCTTTTCTCTCCCCTAGGGTTTATGTTTTAGAAAAATAAAAAAACAAAGTAAACAGCCGAATAGAGATAGTTTGTAGAGTGAGTGAGAGCCTACATAAATTGGGAAAGCTTACTAAGCTAATAGTAGGTGGAACTAACCACTAACTCATATAATATCCCGCCTGTCACTTTTTATTGTTGCAAGGAGAAATTATAGGGTACCCAGGATGCCCCGTCAAGGCGACTACTGGTACCTCATCTAAGGATATGTTTGGTAGGGTAGATCTGAAAGAGAATGATAACCTTAATTATGAGAAAAAAGAAAGGGAAGATAATTTTAATTTGGTATTGTGTTTAGTTGATTAATGAAGGAAAAAAAAGGAAAGGACAGTGATCACGTTTGGGAAAAAAAGGAGAAAGAAAAAAAAGGGAATTATTTTAATAAATTGACCATTATACCTATATATATATACAGTTTCTAGGCCCACGAGAAAAGAAAAAAAAAAAATTTAGCCTCTACTGTCTCTAGGGCAAATCATTTCAGCCTCTATTCTCGTTCTCAACTCCATCTCTCTATTCCATTCTCAATGTCGAACTTCTCTCTCTCTCTGTGCAACTGCAAACTACTACAAGAATCAGAAGTTCAAAACTCATATATTGCGGTTTATATATTTGTCTACAAGAATCAAAACTTCAAAACCCATATCAACATCATTTCAGATTATTCAAAAAATCAAAACCCAATTTCAGATTGTTCAAAAAATCAAAACCCGTATCGATCAAAACCCATATCAGATTGTTCAAAAAATCAAAACCCATATCAGTTTCCATCGCCCACTGTTCCAATTCGAGTTCGCCGTTCGCAAGCTTCAGCCGCTGCCCCCTCTTTCTCTCAACTCTCAAGCTTGCCCCCCTCTCTCTCTGCAACTGCTAAATCAACTAATCAAGGTCTGTAATTCTTGTTTTGCAAACTAAATTCACATGTAATCAAGAGCAAAATTGGCATATGAAATCACACACCAAGCCTCTCCTTCCCTTTCCCTTCATTTCCTCCTATTTTTAGGAGGTTAAGAAATTTACTGTTGAAGGCTTTTGTTAACCCTCTAAACCCTTCCCTTCCCTTCCAACAATTTTTGTCAAACACAAATTTTTAATCTCCCTCCATCACCTTCCCTTCCCTTTCCTCCCTTTGCCATTGCACCAAACTACCCTAATAGAATAATGCCTATGTAATATTTTCAAAACATTCCATGTTAGCTTCAACTCAACCAAGAAGGAAATTAAAGAAACAGAAAGTTAACACCGTCCATAAAAATTCAAATTTCAAATTTCACATTATAATAAATCTTTTTCCTCAAATACCATAAAAGAAAAATTTTTGGTTGGAAAAGGAATAAAGCTGTTTCTTACTCCTCAATCTCACAAATGGATATCAAAATCTACCAGAGTTTTCCTCCATTGCCGGATGAACACACCATAGATCTCCAGAAAATTCAAAATGATTCTCGTTTTGTCTTTCTCTGCGTATGAATTCTTTTGTCACTATTTTTGTATTTCTCTCAATTTTTGGGGTCCATTGTTTCCAATGGGTTTGTTGAATTTTTTTTAATTTGAATTCATATTTTGATTTTTGGCTTTAAATGGGTCAATAATTTTATTTTGTTGTTAATTAATGTTATGTTTGAATATAGGCAATTCCGAAAAAAAGTAGGGGTTTTGGTTTTTGAGCATCCCATTGGTGGTTCTTCTGGAAACTCATTAAAATGCTGTACTGGCCGGTATAGATCTGAATGTTTGCTTTGCAGTCCAATTAGTAATCCAAGGATACCCATTATTTTTTATATTGATTGGATTATCAACCACTAAATTTTACTATTATTTTTATTAACAACAAATTTTCTCACAAAAATACCTATTATTTTTATTTATTGAGCCTTTTTTATGAAAAAAACATCTACCAAGAGTAATCTAAATTAATTATTTGGCGAAATAAAGCAAAAAAAATAAAAAAAATCTATATTTTGTGAAGTCAGGGGACTTTCTTTCTTTCTTTTTTTTTTTTTTTTAACAAGTACGTCACTGGACTTATATCTTCTTGTCAAAGGCTTCATATACCTCCATCCTTCCCATTTACTCGAATGTCAAACAAACATACATCCTGATCTTCATGGTAAAAAGAACTCGGATTTTGACAAAAGAATGAAAGCAATTTCTGCGAGGCCTAATAGACAAAGAAAACATGATTCCTTCGATTGTCCCAACCAGCTTGGTCATACCTAATCTGATCTTATATATTATTATTGAAATTTGTAATTGAGAGATGGAGGCGGAAGATACTTGACAAACGATTAGAGAGACCATTTAGCTTTTAAATGTTAGTGTTTATTGTTTTTTGTATTGAGCCATTCGCCAAATGACATACACAGATCTAGACTTTACGTCCTTACAAGTTCCGGATAATCTACCATCAACATTAAATTGTATAATCAATTTATGTTGAGGCATGCAGACATGCACAAACACTTACAACCTTATAAAAAAAACACTTGGTATACCCTTTTAAATTGGTTTAAGGGTTTAAGTAATGATATGAGAACCTCAAATTACAGATTATGGAATAAGATACAAATTTACTAAAAGTAAAGGCAATCACTCATTACAATCCAAAAATTACATAGTATCCTCAATATGATAGAATTCTTGGAAGAAAGTACCACTTTCTAAAACAAAATAAACCAATATCAGACTATTGATCTTGAGAAGTCATTCAACTTCAACTTTCATGTTGGCCAATTGGTAGAAATCCTGCACAAAAAAAAATAAATAAATAACATAACATAAATAAAAATAAATAAATAAATAAAAATTTGTATGTGGTTAGTTAAGAATAATGTTGTCTAGAATAAACTATAGAAAAAAATATACAAAGTTATACCAATTAAATCATCATCTTTTAGGGAATTAATAGGATTTAAGAACTCTTGAGATATTAGCATTTGTCAGCTTCTGTCACGATTACCGAGGTTGTTTGAGATGACATTCTACAAAAATGTTTTAAAAAATGTCATGCACAAATGAATATATAACCTATAATGAAATAATAAAAAAATGCACCTTACTTGAAATTGATGTGGCATGTGATTGTTGTAACGAAGTAATCTTGCAAAAGTGATACCATGTTCATTAAAATTCCAGATTGAATTGAATGCCTATAAGCCATAAAATGCAAATAAATTATTGACTTACTATATGAGGACGGGTTATTAATGTATTTTGAGTTATTAAAGTAAAATGAAGTGTACCTCATAGGAAGGACTTGGATTGTAAAAATTAGCATGCATTGGCGTACCAAATGAACGATCATTCATCATAGGAACATGGCCAACTCTAGTGTCTGAGCTACTAAAGGTGCTAACTGAATGCTTTACACTTGTTTGTGCTTTTGGTGCTGAAATAAATAATTATGACTCATAAGTTTAGTTGTGTAAATTCCATATGAAAAACAAATTGAGTAAATGTAGAGAAAATTGTGTTACCTCCTGCCTTCTTACATTTTTTCTTTTCCATATGGCTTTTAACCGTGCATTGGTTACTCTTTTTTCCCTTACACGTACAGGATCCAATATGGAAATATCATTAAACTGTCCACAACTTTCCGTGGTATAATCACAACTAGAATCACCACTTCTTTTATTGAGATTACAAGACTCCATCAATTTTTGAGTTTCATCCCACATTGATTGCACCTGACTTTTTGCCACATTTTTTTACTTTATCACTCAAAACCAAGTAATTGATAGCACGATAAGCATGTTGAAGTAAGAAGTTCCTTTCTAGAGTTAGTGGTGTTTTTTTCTTTATGGATAACTCACCTTGTTAAAAAACAACATTTTTTATCTTTTGCACATTTATTCCATCTATCAATAATATTTTAAGATGGTATCTCAGTGATATTCCACAAATTGATAACCTTAAGTACATGCTGACACAACCATCCCGCGGACTCAAACATCTTACAAGAGCACTTGACGTTATAATTGGAGGAGTCGTTGTAACAACCCGAACCCGTGGGTCCGAACCGTTAATCTAGTTCTTACCCGGACCTGAGGTTAATTAAGGGTAACACCATCCTTTACTAGGCTCATAAGAGGTATACAAGTCATTCTAAGGTCCAAGGTACTTTAAGATATGACTTGGGAGGAAAAATCAAAGGTACTGGTCAAAAGGGCAAGGTCGGCCGGTTGATAGACCTTCGTCGGCCGGCTAACCTACAGAATCGGTCGGCTGAAACGATCACAAAAATTGCATGCTCTAGGGACTTTCTTTAGATGAACTATCGGCCGGCTAGAGGTGGGGTGTCAGCCAGCTGATGATGGAGTTTTGGTCGACCGACGGTGAGGTTCGGTCGGCCGAAACAAGGCTTCTCAACTACACAACTCACTGGAATGATCTCGAGATGCTTGTCAGTCGGCTGACATGCCTTGTTAACCGGCTGATAAACCCTGAAGTGCTGCTAAGTGCAACCTGAAGGTCCAAAAACTCCAGGCTCTTTGTGAGTCAAACCCAATGCACAGCCTATCCCAGACTCATAACAACAGTCATACATATCACAAGACATCATCATCAATGAAATTAATCAAATAACTCATAGTCATCTAACCCATCCCAATATACCAAACATGATTGTCACATGCTTCCATGGCCATACACAAAATACATCAAATTATTAACTAAAATACAAATACATTGTCAAATTATAACAATAAATCAATTACATAGAATTGTTTAAAATTTTCAAAATATACATCATAATACAATATGATACAAGGAAAATCCTTTCCAACCTCGTCCATGTTCGTGGAAGATCAATACCCACTAACTCAACCACGTGACCTGAAAAAAAATTATAGAGGAGTGAGCACAACGGCTCAGCAGAGATTGCCTAAGTGGCACTTCCTCAAACAAAGTAAGTAATCCAATGCTTTACACACAATGAATAGGTAAAAGAAGTGGGATCAAGCGAGGGATTTCACATATGGCGCTTAAATTTCCAAATAATCCTCATCACTATCACATATAATGCAATGCATAAATGTTAATGCAACTCCACGTCACACTATACCTACTCTTGTTCCCATATCCCATCCATACTATCATGTATCCA